TAGTAAATAACATAGTTTAATAATTTTATATATTTTATATTATCGATTAGTTTTACAATAAGTTTAAATTTTAAGAAATATTGTTTTTTTTCAAATTCTTTTTTAAAAAAATGGCATCTCGTAGAAATACTAGTGTATTGTGGTACCATTTTGAAAAAATTGATAGTATGAAAGCAAAGTGTAATGTGTGCAACCAGCAGATAAAGTATAGTTCAACAACCGCCAATTTAAAGAGTCATTTAAAAAGAAAGCATATTTCCATATATGCTTCGTTGCAAGAAACTGAGGCAGGAAGTTCACAGCAGACTCGTATTTCACAGTATATGAGTAATTCCGGAGAGGCTATACCAAGTTCTAGTAGTGCTCAACAACAACCTACAAGTGTGCGTCAGAGGGTATTGGAGACTTTTATGACTAAAAAAATTAGCAGCGAACAAAAAAAAATGATTGACCAAGATTTGATGGATATGTTCATTGATAGTTTCCATGCATTTTCATTAGTTGAAGAAAGAGCGTTTAAAAAGTTGATGCGGTGGATACCAGGATATGTTCTTCCATCTAGAAAGACTGTTTCAGGATCCATGCTCGAGGAGCAATACAACAAGGCAGTTGAAAATACAAGAGCAGAAGTTTTAGCTGAAGCACAAACTATTTGCATAACGTTAGATGTTTGGACTTCTAGGGTTACTGAAGCATATGTGGCAGTTACAGGCCATTATATTACAGACAATTATAACTTAAAAACTGTTCTTCTCGGATGCTGTCAATTTGAAGGAGCGCATACATCAGAAAATCTAGCAATAGAAATTCAAACAATCCTTGACAATTGGAAATTGCTTCAGAAGGTAAATTTTGCCATTAGTGATAATGCCAATAACATGAAAAAAGCCATTAAAGACATTTTAAAAATAAAACATTATGGATGTTTTGCGCACACTATTAATTTAATAGTAAATGATGGCCTCAAGTTGATTAAGAGTGAGATCGATATAATAAAGAAAATTGTTGGCCACTTCCGGAGGAGTGTCACTGCATGTGAAAAACTGCAGAAATACCAAATGCAGCAATATGGACACACAAAAAAATTGATTCAAGATGTCGAAACAAGGTGGAACTCCACCTTTTACATGGTGAAACGATTTGTCGAGGTTGAAGAGTCAATAAGGATGACAATGAGTGTTTTAGATGCAAATCTACCATCATTGACTCCTGAAATGTGGAAAATGTTGCCACAACTATGCTTAATTTTAAAACCATTCGAAGATATTACCACCACTGTAAGTGGTGAAAATTACCTGACAGGAAGCCTGGTAATAGTGTTAGTAAGATGTTTGAATGAGTCATGCAACAAATTATTGGCACGAAATGACCTGTTGCCAGTAATTAGAAGAATCACTGAAATTTTTAAATCAGGAATTAATGACAGATTTCCAAATGTCGAGAGGAGCAAGACATTTGGAATCTGTACATTATTAGATCCTAGGTTCAAAATGAAGGGTTTCTCAAACATAGAAGATGCAAAAATTATTAAAGAAGATCTTAAGCAAAAAGTAGCAAAAATCATTGAAGAACGAAGACTTTTAGAGAATGTTGTTCCCATGCCATCAACGTCCATGGAAGATATTGATGAGTATAACCCATGGACTATTTTAAATAACCTAGTAGGAGCATCACTGCATCAATCGACTCCACTATGTGCTGCTATAAAGGAAATTGATATATATCTCGCTGATGATAGCTTGCCTATGAAATCTGCAGAAGGTATATTAAATTGCCCAATGCAATGGTGGAGAAATCACCAGCATGTTTATCCAAATTTGGCGAGATTGTTTAAAAATCAATGCAATGTTGTAGCTACCTCCGTTCCTTGTGAAAGGATCTTTTCAAAAGCAGGCATGGTTATTACGGATAGAAGATCGAGACTACAAAATACAAAAGTCGAAAAATTAATGTATTTAAATGTAAATTTAGATCAAAATCCATTTGATAAAATTTAAAATTGTTAAAATTTTAGTTTTGTTATGTAACAAATTATATAATCTATTTGAAATTTATAATTATAGTTAAAATGTATAATATATGTAAATATTTGAATAAAATGTACTTATAAAAATGATTTGTTTAATTTATAAGATTTCATAAAAACTTCTATTTAAGTTAATCTTCATTTGATTTTTCAGGCTATATGGAATATCATGTCATATAAAAATCTTCTTAGTTAACAAGGTCATAAATAGATAGATGAATACTAACTTTCAAATGTTTTGTTACTAATATTTTTCGTTATATCCATAACATTTTTAATTTGAAATTACTTGAAGTCATTTTTTAAACCTAACCTGAAAATAAATTATTGAGTTATATAAATTATTTGTTTATTATGTGAAACATTGCTATTTTAATTATAAATTCGTTGTTTCAGTATACTATATCCTTTTGCTTTAAAATTAAAAATAAACAATATGATGGGATACACAGTTCAACTTCTAAACCTTGTTATTGATCAAATGATTTGACATTTAACTGGGACGAACATAGATAAGGAACAAACTTCATTAACTTTCAACGAAACAGTATTTTCAACTCATAGTTATTAACGTTGCCAGCGTTGAATCGTTAAAATCAACTATAGTTGAAATTTAACTAGTTTTTCAACTAGTTGACGAGAACCCGTTAACCGTTTCGTTTCGTTGACGGAAAAAACGTCAACGACCCATCACTACTTGACAGCCACTTGCATGAACCGTGAACAATTTGTAGTTGAAATTGAGTGCACATGAGCCATCTGTTTTTAAAAATTGAAACTACTCAGGACCAAAACAGTGCAACGCGCATTTGTTCGAAGATAACTCCCCATGCTTATTATAAAGTCAATTCGTTTTTTTACCATCAGAATTTGTCAGTATTTTTTTGATCCTAACATCACACTTAAGCCTTATAATTATTATTTGATTTAAAAACTTATATTTTAAGGCATGTATGTAAAAAATTATAATAAATTACATGTAGCAGTTTTTGAATGGTGCCACTTTGGATACGAAAAGAATTAAGCAGCATTTTCGACATATTTTACTCTTTTGCTATAGAAAAAGAAAAAAAAACTGTTCAGGTCCAAATGAAATTGATCGATGTGTACGGAAATGACGTGTTGATAGTACGACAGTGCAAAAATTAGTTTGCTAAATTTCATTCCTGGTATTTTGATGTCCAAGATGCCTCAAGTCCAAGAAGTACAGTTGATGCCAATAAAGCGAGAAAAGCATTAGTTGATGCAAACCGACGCATAACAATACATGAGATTCCATTATGTAAAAATTTATCAAATTTAACAGTTCATGACCACTCGAAAGGTCTGGGATTTTCCTCGAAACTCAATATATGGTTCTCATAGAAAGAAACCTCTGTCGTCGCACTGGCGTACGCGATTCGTCTCTGAAAAGTCTTGAAAATTATCAGGTTTTGAAGCGAATTGTCACTAGGAATGCCAAGTGGGATGTAGAATATAACACACGCAATTGCCCATGAAACAAAAAAGAAGAACCTGCTCAAAACAGGTGCAAGGCTGAAATTTGCCAGAAAAAAATGAAGCGGTATCTTTGGTAAGGAGTTGTTCATTTTTCAGCTTTTCTAGGATAACATAACGATTAATTCGGATGCGTTATGTCATCAGCTGGATAAACTAAATGGTATAGTTCAATAGAAAAGGCATCAAGACGACGCAAGACCTCCCATAAGTTTGGTTAATCGCCAAAAGCTTTTGTAGCTTGAATGGGACCCAATGACACATTCATCATATTATCCAGACCTGCCATCATCAGACCATTATTTGTTCCGGTCACTAAAAAATTTTTTAACAACCAAAAAAAATATGATTTCAAAATTATGAAATACCGGAAATATGACAAAAGACGTTCGATTAAAACTGCCAATACAAAATTTATCAAAGTATAATTGTTTATTGTACGAAAATTACGTGCCAAAATGTCTATAAAAAACAAAGTTATTTTCCGAACAACCCAATATTTTAATTTCCACATTGGAAAGTATAATTACTTTTGCGCAAAGTCGTGTTTTATTTCCAATATTCGCATTCATTAAAAAAACAGTGCAGAAGTCAACTGTAATCAGTAGCTTCTGGAAAATTAGCTACGGAACCATATAGATAAAAAAAGTAGGCGTAGATTCTGATTAAAATTGCTTAAGCGCGCTAATCCCAACAAATAACTTCCGAACAGTTTTCGTATTTTTAAGGTCGATTCAAGATTGTGGGCTAAAACGTGGACAAAAACCTTTACATTTTTCTGCTAATTACTATTAAGAAACTGCTCGGCCGATCACCTTCATCGAGTTACAAGGGATGGCTTTTAATTTTTGAAATCGGTCCAGCCGTTTTTGAGAAAACGTCGCGAATGGCTAAAAATCGGCTCACATGCGCACACACATACTCTTTCCAAATTTGGTCTGATTCGATTCAGAATGACTTGAAACTTTGAGAAAACATATAATTAGGACATCGGATTTATGCGCGAAATCAAATTTCCTCTTCTAGAAATTAATAACTACATTTGCTTTAAAAGAATCTTATCACATCTTAACATATTTTTAGTAAAATTACTGATCTCAACTGTCTAGGCAATGCATAAACGTCATGATGGGCTAAATGACCACCCAGTTAAAAGGCATAAAAAATAAATATGTGTCTATGACAAAAATGATCAAATGATATGAAGATGTATAAATTTAGTATATTTAATTGAGTCTACATAAGTATTAATTTAGTCAATAATATATGTTATTTAAATTATGTTCTGCATGTACTTTTAGTACTAATCAATTCCCATTAAAATAGTATGCTTATTTATCTATGATAGTATGATTACACATGAAATGAAATAAATTCAAATCATCAAAAACCTTTATTTTTATTTTGCTTTTGATTGTATACATAATATTTCGCTTTACAAGATTAGATATTTGCTGTTTTTACTTTAAAAAATATTTATTTTTATTTATTTAAAAAGTATGAATTTTCAAAATTACATGAACAACAAATTTTACTTTTCTTTAATAGACCTCATAAGTTCAAGTAGTTATTAGTGGACGAACTTTTCTAAAATATTTGTAATTTATACAGGAAGGGTTACTTTGAATTGTTTTATATTCAACAACAGATGTTCTTTTACATAGCTTTTTACGTTCAATACTTATTCCTTCACATATTGTAGTAATCCACTCTTGATGTTCACTTGATATATCAATCAAATTGGATGCATTTTTCTGTTTTTCTGAAATGTCCATTTGTATTGAGTTCCCATTACATGACAGCCAGTCACTTGAATTGTTAGCAATAACATTATTATCTGTTATATTACTGACAGAAAATTCTAACTGGACAGAATTGTCTTTTCCAGTTTTAATTGGATTTTTCTTGCGTTCTGAACTTTTTTCAATAATGATAGGTGTCATATTACAAGACCTATCAACTGATGATGCAGTAGTTGAAATAGTTTTACATTTTTTATTTTGTGGAGCAGAAATAATGTTATTTTCATCTTCAAAACAAAACAGTTCTTCATTATCATCATTATTTCGCATAATTTTTGTTGGAGGCATTAAGTCACCTTCTAAATCTGAATCAATACAGATTTCAGCACAATCAACATTGCGTTTTCTAGGTTTATTAAAGGTTATTATACTATCATCTATCTTTTGGTTTGACGAAGGAGTCTCCAAAACATCAACACCTGATATAAGGCTTATATTGGGCTTTGCAACATATTTATCTTTTTGCATCTGTTTATTTCCAATTGTTGCCGCTGTACTGGAAATAGTTGATGTTTTTGTACCATCTTCATCAGAAATTGAAGAAATATCCATTTTATCATCACTATCTGCAATTGGTGTAATGAATTCTGTTGATGAGCTAACTTTATTTTTATTTGTAACACAAGATGGTTCAGTTTCCTCTGCCAGAATTTCATGCGCTTCAACAATTGGGGGGTTTTGCTGCAAAAAGTTCATTTTAAAGTCATATGCAGGGTTGCAATATTTTTCTACATTACAGAATAAAATTGCTAAACCAATTTCAGATTCAGGTATTAATCTTAGTTTTTTCTTCTGCAGTACATCTAAAATAAAAACAATCATAAAAAAATTAGTGATTTACAATTGTGATTCATTTATTATAAGCTTATTGATTGAAAATAAAAACTCAAAATTTCTGCATAAGCTGCAAAATAAAATAACTTTTTTCTAAGTTCTGAAAATGGAAATATTATATCTATTATGTGATAAAACTAATGGTATTAAAAGATTCTGTAATAAAAACTCTTCCAATAAATTATTATTTAACAATTAATTCAAGGTAGAAAATATTGTAACTTACTATCTATTTCATCAGCCATTTGACTTGACTGAGACGACTGAGAATTCATACTTCTTAAATACTGAACAACTATCATTCCAGACTCACAAAGTTTAGCTTTTGTTAATTTTGATTTTGCCAATAATATAGCTTTTCCTTGTGCTTCATTTATAATTTGTTCAAATTGACTATGCTGCCTTGTAGATAAGAAAACAAAAGTCTTCTGTTTAAATGTGTGCCTTCTTTCTGGTCTAGGTAATAAAATTGTACTGTCACATTTTATAAGAGGCTCAGCCTGATGGGGGAGAAATGATTCCTCCTTAGGTAAAGGTTTATTTAATTTAATACAAGAGGCAACATTAACCCAGTAATCCATAGTAATAATTGGAACAGCAGCAACTAGTGCTTGAACTAATTTTAGAGTCAAACTTAAAAATGGAACAGTTAAATGTGTACAAGAACTACTAAATAATTCCTCATAATGTCCGTCAAGAAATTTCATGATTTCCTTCATTTTATTTTTGTCAGCTTGTGAAAAAGCTGATGTAGCAGTGTTGAAGTCCTTCTTTGCAAGTGTCCATGTATTTGAAAGAATTCCAAATCTGATGCAATCATCTTGATTGAGATCTATTTCTTCTCCGGATGGTACACGTGTCTTAGACTCTATTCCATTATTTATATAAGTACCATACTTAGAACCTTTATCAATAAGTACCACTCTAGTTCTGGTTTCTGAACGTTTCAATCTCAAAATAGCATGTTCTCGGCTAATAGAAGAATCATCTTTTAATGGAATACTGACATTACCTCGTCCAATGATAAAATCACTACAGCTTCCACATAAGTAAAAAAACTTATCAGCTGTAATCGTAAAATAAAATATTTCTGTATTTATGCATTCATCTCACATTATTAAATATTTATTTATTATAAAATATTGCATGTATTTGGACTTTTTCAACATGTCAACATTATCTCAATTTTTAACTAAATTGAGATAATGTTGATTAAATGTTACACAAAACTTTAAAAGCTTGAGGTCATATCTACTAACATTTAAACATATTTTTTGAAAAAAGTTTCAGCATATTAATATTTTAACATTTCAAATAACTTGGCTGTATAAGTGAATTTTTATAGTCCATAATGAAGATGTAGTAAAATAGTGTAAAGCAAAGCAAATGGAATATATAGATACTGCGATATTAAAAACTGCACCAAACATTTCATTGTGTAACAATCATATTGCGGGAAATTGTAAAATGATGTACTAATTAAAACGTTACATTTTTCACAATTAAATACTAAAAATATAATGAGACATTATTAATAAAATAATGATAATAATAAAGAAGTAGAAATAATTTCTACCTAATTTACTTACTAGTTTTATTGTGAATAAACCACATTCTCAACGTTGTTGAAGTAACATCGGCAATTTTCTAACTTCAAACTTTTTCCATAAATATAAAACAAGTACTTTCTATTCATGTAATTAATTTGAAATAAAATCCTTATGTTTCTGAAAAGTGTATAAATATAAAACTCAAAATCTAGTTATAATAATTAAATTCTGCTTGTAAAGTCGTTAGAAATGACATATACCTGTCTTAATGACATGAGACTTATCGCGCTGAATGGTTGTGGATGTCAGATCAGATGTCATGAACTATGCACACCGAACGAACCTTATGTTGAGAACCACTAATTCATTGCAATGTGTTGACATGTCATATTCCATGTGCGTTTTCTGACACAAGTTAAATATCTCAAATGTCATTAAAATATAAATACAAATGACAATATTTGCTATCACAGCATTAAATTTATTATTTTTACATATAATTTTTTATAAATCATAAATAGTTTGCGAAAAATGCATACACAATGTTATTGAAATTTGAAATATTGTTCTGCTGAATCAATTTTTATATATTGTGATAATGATGAAATATGTGGCTGTATGTTCAGCGCTAAATTAATTTGAAACTATAAAAAATAGATCATTGCAATTTAATTAATAAGTTCAAAATGTCTTTTATTGGAAACTATTTGGATTTACTTAACTACATACTATCATTACATATCGCCTACAATCAAATACGATCCACAACATAATTAGTTAATGCAAGAACGCAGATAAAATGCATCTCTTTATTTATTTACTTTTTATATTGTTGACGAAATTTTCACTTGTTTTATTGATTGAAAATAAACAGGTACCAAACACTTCAGCTTCATTGAACAGAAATTCATCAATCAAGTTAATAATAATAATTTTTGTTTATAGACTTGCACGGATGTAGCAAGAGATGATGAAAATCTTTTGGTATTATCAACATTAGGAGGAAAATTAATAGCACTCGATCCATTAACTGGTTCTAAAAGATGGTCTATAGATGATGGTTTGTAATAGATATAAAATTTCTTTATGTATTATAACATAGAAATGTTAGAGTAAAAAATTATTACTTACTATAGTTACTACTTTTATTTGTTTCAAATAAAAACTATTTATTTAAACTTTTTTAAATGGTAGTTGAAATACATTGTCATCACATAACGTATAGAAATATATACTAAGAAATATATATTTTCGTTATTTTTATTTTTGTTTCTCAATATATTTATATTGCTTCTTAATAATAAAATAATTTTTGTAAGATTAAGAAGATATGAAAACTATTTTTTATATTATTTGGTATTAATTGTAGGAAAAATAACATTAGGTGATTTTTAGAAATATTGCATTTAACTTTCCACATATCTTTTGCAGAACCTGCTCTCAAAGTGCCTCAACCGAAAACAGGACAATATGTTGTGTAATTATATCACTAACTAAAATTAGTAATTAAGTATATCTTTGTCTGAAGCTATTTTTTTTTAGGTCGCAATTTTTACCCAATCCAAAGGACGGGAGTCTTTATACATGGCAAGATGATAAAGAAGAATCTTCAGGTGGTTTACTTCACAAGATGCCTTTTACAATACCACAACTTGTTGCTAATGCTCCATGTCGCTCAAGTGATGGAATTTTTTACAGTGGTAAAAAAAGCGATAGTTGGACTTTGGTTGATATAAAAACTGGTGTTAGGAAAAAAGTTATTGGTATTTATTCTATATGCAAATCATAATTTAAATATTTTAATTTGATTTAATTTAATATTAATTTTTTAGAGTTTGATGATTTTCCTATTTTGCCATCAAGATCACATGTTTTATTGGGAAGATCTTATTATACGATTTTAATGTATAATGATATGACGAAGGGTGTGTGGAATGTGACTTATGTGGATTATTCATCTCATACTATGAGCGCAGAAATGACAAATGAATACAGTAATATAGTTTTCTTTATGATCCTAAAAAAAGAAAGTTGACATGAAATTTTGAATCATGTCTTTTGCCATCTTTTAAATTAATTTTGAAATAAAATTCAATATTTTCTAATATGTTTCATAAATTTATGTTAACTTTTTCAGATTTTATACATCTGAGCGGAAGTGAATATGGCCTCACAGCAACTTTAGACCGAATTACTGGTTCTTATCTCTGGGAGTTTGATACAGGTTCACCAGTTGTTGCAATTTATGTTTTGAATAAAAATGGATTATTAGCTGTTCCTTTTACAACAGTATCTGATGATGCTTTGAGTGATATATTGACTAATACAAAATTAGGCGCTGAAGACAATATGAATCTATTGTAAGATTATACTTTATGGTACAGACCAACTTGTACATAAAATTGAAAAGTTTTAATCATTTATTAAAGCAATTATGTTTAAAAATATCTGGATTGATGTTCGTTTAATTCGGTTGGTTTCAAAATGAAAAAACGTTTTTTTTATTCAACTATATAATAAGTTTGCTCTTTAAAATTGAAAAGTTTTAATCATTTATTAAAGCAATTATGTTTAAAAATATCTGGATTGATGTTCGTTTAATTCGGTTGGTTTCAAAATGAAAAAACGTTTTTTTTATTCAACTATATAATAAGTTTGCTCTTTATTTTAAATAACTCTATAAAATTTCTACTCGATTTTTGTTTGTTTGTAATTTATTTATTTTTACACTTCAGTCCTACACTCTACGTCGGTGAGCATGTCCATGGCATATATGCATTACCATCATTGATACATAGTGAAACCGCTATAATTAAGAAATATCCAAAAGCTTTTCTCATTGAGGGACCTGATAATAAATTTGAGAATAATGAAGTTATGTCTAAAAATATCAAACACATGGGAAGCACAAATCTAAAAGATTACAGGAATTTTATTTTGCTTGGATATTATTATCTGCCACAAAAAGAAGTAACAAGTCTAAAAATTAGTGCTAATAGAAAAATCACTGAAATAAGTAGTACTACACAAATGAAAAATGAAATTACAACAATAACATTTTCGCAAGATAATAAAAGTCTAAAAAACAGTTTATATACTGCTGATGGAAGTAATGTATCTATTTTAAATAGCTTTTTCAAATTCAGCAATAATTTGTTAAATATTATGGAGAATGCATCTTTTATAACATTGTTTATGAGTTTAATGAGTATGATGCTACCAATTTCCATCATATATTATAAGGTATAGTTTTTATCAACATATTATTATATATCTTTATATAAAGCATTATAGTATTAACACAAATATTGATATTAACACTAAAATAGAGAAATAAATTGTTTGTTACAACTTCAAATGATGCCCCTGTTGTAAAGTCTGATGAAAAAAGGTCGGATATTCGCATTGGAAAGATATCTTTTGATCAAAATCATCTTCTAGGAAAAGGATGTGAAGGAACATTTGTATTTAAGTTAGTTTCATTATATTTTTTTAGCATGCATATAAACAAATAAAATTTATTATTTTTTGTTACAGGGGATCATTTGAATCTAGGCCGGTCGCAGTGAAAAGACTTTTACCAGAATGTTTTTCAATAGCTGAAAGAGAAGTTAGTCTGTTAAAAGAATCTGATATGCACCCTAATGTTGTGCGATATTTTTGTACTGAGCAAGATTTGCAATTCATGTACATAGCTCTTGAATTGTGTTGTGCTACATTACAAGATTACGTTGATAAATCCTTGAATTTTAAATGTAAAACATCAGAATTAGAGCTCCTATTACAAGCAACGAGCGGTTTGGAGCATTTGCATTCCTTAAATATAGGTAAACTTAGTTTTACCTTAAAAATTAACATTTATATGTAGCAATTGTAAAAATATATTTAGTGAAAATTGACCAATATTTTGCAGTATTTAACAAATGTTATTATTTTTAATTCACTTCAGTTCACAGAGACATAAAACCTCATAATGTGTTATTATCATTACCCGATCAAAATGGATTCACGCGAGCTATGATATCAGATTTTGGACTCTGTAAAAAACTTTTAGTAGGAAAATTGAGTTTTTCAAAGGCATCAGGCATGGCGGGTACTGAAGGATGGATTGCACCAGAGATAATAAAAGAAGAAAGATCAGTGAGTGTACAAGTGTCTATTTATTTATAAGTACTTGAAATAGTGGTGCATGGTATTGTATCTTAAGGTAATTTGCTGGAACTTCCCATACCATAATTTAGAATAATTGAAAATTTTAATTTAAAAATTTTCAATTTTTTGAGAATCTTGAAATCTTTTAACATTTGAATGAAAACTCTGTTTTTATATTCTTTTAAATTTGATTTTTCTTTTCGAAGGCGCTTAGAGAAGCGCCGTGTCGCAGTCTAACGTTTGAGCATTATAGATCTTGGTGTGGAATCCAGATAAATGTAAACAAAATTCGTACTTATTATTTAATTTATGTAAAATATCTGATAATTTGATGTGCACATGTCTAATGATTATTTTTGACCACCAAAATGGCATCTTTTTTTATTGAATCTTACTTTTTTATTGAATTCGAAACCGTTGGACCTGTCTTTCCAAAAAATTAATCAATTCTTCATTCTGTCAATACAATTAATATGGTTTTTGAATCATTCAAAATGGATGCTCCATTCTCAATTCTTTCAAAAACAATTTCAATTCATTATTGGCACTTTTTGACCGCATCTTTGAAATGGTTTGACCTGTCTTTGTCAAAAACTATTCGGAAAGTCTTTCCATCAATAGGAGTCTAAAGTTTTTTGAATCATTCTGATCGGTTTATCCGTGCTCTCGACAACGTCGGCGAAAAAATGTATCCGAATATACATACACACAAACACAATCAGTCATTTTTTTAAGGTATGCCAAAATGTTCAGAAGATCTTAAAATGTGCAAAAAAAATTCCATTTTCGATTTTTTTGTGATTACTATAATTTACGGTAAGTTAATAATTGACAAAATATTATTTTAGACTGCTGCTGTAGATGTTTTTTCTTTAGGCTGTGTTTTTTATTATGTATTATCGCATGGAGCTCATCCATTTGGAGGTCCTCTTCATAGACAAGCAAATATTTTATCTGGGCATTATTCATTGGCCTTGTTGGAAGATAAGCCCGTTGCGCAAAATATATTATCTAGTATGATAGACAAAACATGGGAGAAGAGACCACCTATATCGGCTGTTAGGTATCACCCCGTATTTTGGAATGAAGCTAAATCTCTTGCATTTTTGCAGGTAAATATCACTATTCACCTGCTACAGCAATTGTAGAGTTTTGCTACCATTTTATTATATTATAATTTACTATTAGTACTTCTAATTTTCAAGAGAACTAGGCATATTTATAATTCATATTTCTAGATGTAATTTAAATATTATTCATAAGTATTGTGTTACGTAGGATATTAGCGACCGTATTGAAAATGAAGTAGAAACTGCTTTGCCTGTTAAAAACTTAGAAATTGAAGCACATCAAGTCATCAGAAATGATTGGAAAAAGTACTTAGATACAAGTATTTCTGATGATCTTAGGAAGTATAGAACCTACTCTGGAAGTAATGTTAGAGATTTATTAAGAGCTATAAGGAATAAGGTATTCTTTTTACATTTAATTGACTGACTCAACAATCTAGCTTGGTTAAAGTGGGCTTATCAAATAATATTACATTGCTTATATAAATTGAATATGGTTATTATATTAGATAATTCATAATAGAAAGTTTAACTGATAAATATTTGTTTTTGTAGAAGCATCATTATCATCAACTCTCACCTGATGCATTGAAAGTTTTGGGTACGATACCAGTGGATTTCACTAGATACTGGCTTGAAAGATTTCCTCTTTTGTTGATTCATGTTTGGGGTTTCACCCAATGTTTACGAAATGAACTAAACTTATCTGATTATTACCATAAAGAATTTATTTTTCCTACGTGGAATAATGAACGAAAATGTGATATTTGTGCAAAAGAAAGTAATAATACTAAGGAACCAATTAAAATAGTATTTCTAACAAAACCTGAAACACAAACAAATTTGCAAACTGATAACTTCAATACAAATTACAAAATGGAGAGAGAAAGCAGATATATGAAGCCGAATAATAATAAATTAAAAAATAAATCAGTTCACAATGGTTCACCAAAAAAAAGAAAAATGCCAAATAGGAATAAATATGAAGATATGAATAAATCCTGTATTTGGACATTGCCAATGGAGACATCAAAATAATTTACTTGATTTATTATGCAATTAGATGTAAGGTGTGATAATTGATTTTGTATCACAATTTATCTTAAATCACTAATATTTTATCTGTGAGGATATAGAAGGCATTACAGTAAGTGATTTAATGACATTAATTTTTACTAATTAAATTTAACGAGTGGTGTTACATTACTTCACATTATTAGGTGTTGACTGCTAGTGATTTTAAGGCAAACGTAGATAAGATAAATACTATTTATTTTGTCATACTTCTAAAAGTAAATATGATTATCTTGTTTCTAGACAGTTTTGTGCCTTTAAAAAATGCACATCATTTTGAAAAATATTTATTAATAGTTAATATATAATCTTTATATTATAATTAAAATAATTTATATTTTATATAAATAAAATTCACAAATTTTAAACAGTACAAATTTTAATCTATGATTGTTTTATTTAACAAGTCCTTTGTAACCTCTTGCTAATAAAAATTTTTCACTTGAATCTGATCGGCTAGATGCTGGTTTGATAAACTTAACTGAACTATAGAAACGTGCTGGAAAAAATATTTCTCCACTGTTATCCTCATTCATTTATTCTGATATATTACCATATATTTATTATTACCAACGTCGTCCACAAGTTTTGGAATACCTCTTCCATCCCATACTTTCACCAATAATGTACCATTTTCATTGGAAATTTCTAATGCAAACTTTAGTACTGCATAACATAAAGAAATTATATTATCATGATCCATCTCACGCATTCCAGATGCATTGGGTGCCATATCAGATAATACAACATTTGCTAATCGACTATTTAACATTTTTTTTATTTTGTCTCGAGTTTCAACTAAAGTGAAATCAGAATTACCTAACAATTCAGCACCCTAATGAAATAATAAAAACAATCATTGAGTTTTTAGCAATGCAAAGGATTAACTATCTAAAGTATTATTTACTTCAATGGGGTATATTTGCACTCGATCTATACCAATAATTAAACTTTTATCTTTATATTTTCTTTCATTTTTTGAATTTTTTGGGTTACACTTGTTTACGGCCACTTGGGTCCAGGAACCTGGAGATGCCCCACAATCAATGACTACATCACCTGGATGTAATATTTTGTACTTTTCATCTATTTCCAAAAGTTTAAATGCACTTCTACATCTATTTTATAATATTTCAAGGTTTAATTCAAGTAAATCAATCATTTACAATATTTATTTACCTGTAATTTTGCATTTTTGCTTTCTCTACATAAGGGTCATTTAGCTGCCTCGACATCCATTCGAAAGAACTTGTAGATTTGCTTTTTAATTTTGTGGGTACAACTTTTGAGTAAGATCGGCAAAATGTTTTGAACATTTTGAATACTCGAGAAAGAGAACTTAATTCGTTACTATTGTATTGTACAACGTTGTGCTAGACAATGACATTTGCTATATTTTTCAAGCAGAATTGTTACTATGCGATTACTTAAGAAAACAGTATTTCAAACTCAGTCAATGCAAACTACATCAATTTTATATTATCACACATATTGTTTTCAGCGAAACAAATACTTTTTATAACCTATCATTCTGTCATTTTCTAAATACTTTCAAGGGTCACCAACGTGTGAAAAACCTGCTTTCATAATAATGGATAAGGATATCCAACTTTAAGACAAATGATCTCTTCTATAATTAACTTCCTTCACGTTTTAGAGGTTTCTGAACATTTTGGCATACCTTAGAAAAAATTGATCTATGTGTGTGTGTGTGCGAATACAAATTTTCGTCGACGATTTCGGGAACATAGTTCAACCGATTTCAATTATTCAAAAAACATTCGATTGCTGTTGATAAGGAGACGTGCTGATTAGTTTTTGTCTTAGGCAGGTTTAGCCGTTTCGAAGATCTAGTGAAAATAATCTAATTTTTTCAAAGTAAAATTTTTACAAAAATGTTAATCTTTTTTTAAAAAAAAAAAATCTGGTACGGGAAGTTCCAGCAATTTACCTTAAGGCACAATGCCATGCGGCCCCACTAGTTTCAAACATAAAGATATTTTGTTAATACTCTTTTTTATCTATGCCTAGAACAATCTTTCTTCGGCGAAGTTGCATAAAATCATTTGAAAAGTAAAAAAAGCATGCAAATGTGAGAGCAATAACGCATGAGTGTCATCATGCATGATAAGCCGACGTTAACAGCGGCGTTAAATGGTACGGTGTAGTATCAAACCTGTATCAAATAACAAAGCGCTTGAGAGACAGCAAAGATGTAACAAACAAGATCTTATATATTGTGATACACATAAATAAAGCTGATTTTTCTAATGGTATTAAATCATGTGTGCAACCACTTACAATTTAATGTATAATAATATAATCCTGTATAATAATTAAAAATCACTTTCATGCTTATTTTTTGAAAGAAGTTAAAACAATTTTGAGACAGCTAAGAAATTGAAAAGAGTCTCAGAAGATTAAATGTCTTTTGAGCTGAGAAGAAATTACATGAATATTATGTGAGAAAAGTAAGGATGTTAAGGAAATTGAGAGAATTTGCAAAGTAACATTTTTTTTGCTACTTTCACTGAGAACTGGTATGACTATAGTAATAAAATCGATAAGATTAAACACACACTTTATAAGGTAAACATTTATTTAGAATATAATTACAAAATTAACATTAAAACATAATTGATACAATATGATGAACAAAGATTGCATGGTCATCAAATAAAATCGTCAGATTTGAGACTTATTGAAACGGAATGGAATGAATTAGATGGCTATTTTTAGATGGCAATTTTTAAAATAAAATATCTTTGCATAAAGTACTACACAAAATGTTTTCAAATTTGATAAGTATTTTAATTTCCAAAATTACCTCCAATGATTTATATTTATAATACTCCCAAATCTTAAGTGCACTTTGTTCATTTAACTTGGCACATTTACTTTTTTTAAATACTACTTAACTATTTCCATAAAACCTTTAAACTAATCCTTAAATTACTAACTTAATTACTCGATGTTAAATTAGCTGGGCTATACTATATTCCTTAAATTAAATATACTATTCACTTTTTGAAAGAATGAAGAATAAAGCATCCAATTTCAATAATTTAAAAAACATTTTACATGTATGTAATGATAAAATGAAGAACTGATAAAATTTTGGGGAAAACAGGTCCAGCGGCTTCGGATATCAAACTAAAAAATTACTCTACCTCTAATGATATATATTTATAATACTCTCAAATTTTAAGTGCACTTTATTCATTTAACTTGACACATTTACTTTCTTAAATACTACTTATATACTATTTCCATAAAACCTTTAAACTAATCTTTAAATTACTAAGCTCATTACTCAATGTTGAAAGTAGCTCGGTTATGCTATATTCCTTAAATTAAATATACTATTCAGTTTTTGAAAGAATGAAGAATAAAGCATCCAATTTCAATAATTTGAAAAAAAAAAACATTTTAAATGTATGTAATGATAAAGTGAAGAACTGATAAATCTTTGGGGAAGACAGGTCCAGTGGCTTCGGATACCCAACTAAAAAAAGTACGAAAATACCCTTTTGTTTTCAAATTACTCTGCTTGATAAGTAATTCACTTTCTAAAATTACCTCCAATAATTTATATTTATAATACTCCCCAATCTTAAGTGCATTTTTGTTCATTTAACTTGGCATAAGTACTTTCTTAAATACTATACATATACTATTTCCATAAAACCTTTAAACTAATCCTTACTAAATTCATTACTCAATGTTAAAGTAGCTGGGTTATACTATATTCCTTAAATTAAATATACTATTCAGTTTTTAAAAGAATGAAGAAAAAAGCATCCAATTGCAATAATTTAAAAAACATTTTATATGTAAGTAATGGCAAAATGAAGAACTGATAAAATTTTGGGAAAGACCTTGGATATCCAACTAAAAAAAGTACAAAAATGCCATATTGTTTTCAAATTACTCTAGCTTGATAAGTATTTTACACTCCAAAATTACCTCTAATGATTTATATTTATAATATTCCCAAATCTTAAGCTTGATAAGTATTTTACACTCCAAAATTACCTCTAATGATTTATATTTATAATATTTCCAAATCTTAAGTGCACTTTGTTCATTTAACTTGGCACATTTACTGTTTTAAATACTATTTCCATAAAACCTTTAAACTAATTTTTAAATTACTAAATTCATTACTCAATGTTGAAAGTATCTGGGTTATGCTATATTCTAAATTCTATGCTAAATTAAATATACTATGCTTGAGATGAACTTGAGGCAATCACTACATCGTTCTTATCAGTATTATAATTACTGATGCTAAGAGGTGTACAAACATCAATCAAAATTCTCAAATCTTTGTTACTCAGGTAACTAAATATTTTTTCAATACAGTCATGTGGTAATTCTGGATTGCTAAAGATAAAATGGTAAATTTTCTTGCCTTGTTCCAGTAACTCTATTCTTTCCATACCCTGTCTGAAATGACTTTTAATCAAACTAGCAAAAATGGGAAATTTTGTTTTGTAGTCTTCTGATTTTAAAACCTGCATTAAATTTTCATTCATCAAATATATTGCTAATGTTTTTGTATTCTTCTTCAAGATATCATAAAATGAAATGTTACATCCATTAATCTTCTCTTTCTTCATGTTTGCTATTTCTTCATTACATTCATAGTAAAATTCAAGTACAGGCATACCATGCATTGATTGTATATTTTTTAAACTTACATATAACCCTGCAGATTCCAGTTTAACTATGTGTTGTATAAGAGTTTTAACAGGAAATCCACTTGAACGAACACTATGCGCAGGATCGTAATAATGACCATCAGAATAATATTCGTTGAGTGGGCTATAGTAAAACGTTATTCCAGCTATGGCATAATCAAGAGCTGTTTGATTATTTGTACTAGTAATATTAATATCAGAGCCATACTCAAGAAGAGTGACAACAACATCTCCATGTCCATTTTGAGAAGCAATGTGAAGTGCAGTGATTCCATCCTTTTGCCTAGCATTTACATTAGCTCCTTTATTCAAAAGCATCTCTGTAATTTTTACTTTTCCTAATTTAGCAGAAAGATGAAGTGGTGTAATATCACCTAGTTCTACAACTCTAGAGTTAACATTTGCATTGTGTTTCAATAGAGCTTCAACAACTTTTACATATCCGTTTTGAACAGCCGCATGAAGTGTTGTTAGACCACATTTATTTTTAACATCTACATTAGCACCTTTACTTAAAAGCAGTTCAGCAATTTCTCCCTTAATATTAAAATCAGGATCATCACGTGAGAATCTAAAAAAACCTTCATTTTCACTTAAAGCAGTAAAATGCAATGCTGTTCTTCCATATTTGTCACTTGCATTGATATCAGCATCATATTGCAAGAGAACTTTAACGATTTCTATACATTCCTTCTGAACAGCAATATGCAATAGATCAGGACTATCTTTTATATTAGCCTTGTTAGTTAAAAGTAGTTTGGTCATTTCTAAATCGGCATTCTCAATAGCGTAAAATATTGGAGTTTTACCAGTTTTATCTTGAGCATTTACATCAGCTTTATATCTTATCAACAATTTCACTACTTCTCCTTGTTTGTTTTTGGCTGCACAGTGTAAAGGTGTAAAACCTTCAAATTGTGAATTGCTGTATGTATTAACATCAGCACCATACTTTAATAGATCTTCAACAATTTTCAAGTATCCTCTTTCAACAGTACCATGTAATAACTCAGGATTCTTTGCATCTTCTGGGTTAAGGTTAAATCCATATTCTAGAAGGGCCTCAACAATTTGTAAACATCCTATCTTAACTGCAACATGAAGTACACTTATACCATCACTGTCTCTATTATTAACATCAGCTCCATAGGTTAAAAGTAATTGTGCAACTTCAATTTTTTCATTTTCAATTGCATAGTAAAGTGGTGTTTTACGACAATCATTTTCAGCATTAATTGTAGCACCTTTATCTAGAAGCATCTTAACAATCTCTATGTCGCAATTTTTAACAGCAAAATGAAGGGGAGTAGTATCACGAGTTCTTCTCTGGATGTTAACTTCAGAACCGCTTGTTAAAAGTAACTTGGCAATTTCTGAATGTTTATTCTTAGTAGCTTCACGAAGCAAAAGATATCCATTTGACCATGCTTGTGAATAAGACAATCCGAAAATATTGATTAATTCCCTTGTTGCTTCCAGTCTTCCTTCACGAACCGCATTAATCAAAGTCATGGTTACATCCATTTTTCTTATATTATTATAATAATTAATAGATCATATATTATCCACAGCCTAGAAGTCAAAGTTGATTAATCATAATATGTATATGCAGAAATGTATATATATATATATATATATATATATATATATATATATATATTAAATGTTAAATATAAACAATACAACACTCAGATTTTTAACACACACTTTATTTAATAATTACTGACGTTTCGAGACCATGGTATGCCCCATCTCCAGTGTAATTCCATGGGCATACCATGGTCTCGAAACGTCTATAATTATTAAATAAAGTGTGTGTTAAAAATCTGAGTGTTGTATTATTCATATTTAACATTTAATATTCGTTCCACTCATATCACAAAAGTTTATATATATATATATATATATATATATATATATATACAATGTTAAGATAGTAATTTTTTATAATACTATATTAAGACAGATCACAATTGCAATGTTTGTTTTTGTAATAAGATCAGGTGATACATACACTCTTTTAGCGCAAAAAATATGTCTAGTAGAATCAAATGGTAAAATTCTAGTTGTTGTGCAGAGTAGAAAGCAGCCGGTGTACCAACAACATGCACTTCATTCTTCGATGCTTTTCCTTAATAGGACTCCGTGCTTGCTGAAACTCAAATATTATAACTATATTGAAATATTGTAACCGATTTAAGTATTTCACATGAACACACCACACGAAACAAAATAAAATATATATTTTATAATTTTTTTAATGAATATTGAATGCAGGCATATCATAAGCAATTAGGTGTATGTGATATTTTGCCTTGAAGCAAGTTGCAAAAACTTCCAAATATCTATAAATAATATACCTAATCAATAATAATTGAGATTTAACTATTGAGATTTAACTATTTAGATTTTAACTGTTTATTTCACATTAAAAAAAAACCAAACTTCCATATATATAACTAGCATGCATGCAGTTAGCAACAGCGTGCATATACTTTTGTGCAACAACGTGCATATACTTTTGTGCAACAGCGTGCGGCGGATTTTGTGGGCGTGTACTATCCGCAAGGGGCGTAGTCTCATATAAAAATTAATTTTTGGGCAGAAAATGCAAATACGCAAATATGCTTAGATGTCCTAAAATACCTTACCACCAATTTAGTTTTAGAAGACATCATTCAACAATTCAGCAATGCATCAGAACAACCAACTCAATCCCCACTGCCCTAAATAAAAAAGAATTTTGTGTAGCAGTTTTTCTTGATATCAGCCATCTACATATAGACCGTAATCTAAATTGCAAAACGCATATTTTAATGAAAGAAAAAAACAAATAGATTTAAAACTGAAGGAAATAAACTGGCTAATGAGAAGATTAACCAAACTGTCTTTAGAAAATAAACTTCTATTATACAAAGCGATAATAATTCCAATATGAACTTATGGGACAGAGTTATGTCAGTAAGAGTAACATTCAAACTAGTTGGTATTGGTATTTTGCCTTGAGGCAAGTTACATGAACTTCCCGATATGTGTAAATAATCGACGTAATCAATAAAAAATAAATTAATCTATGAGTAATTAAAAGTATTCCGAGTGGATTTATTACACATATTTGAATACTAACGAACACGTTAACTCGGAGTATTTTCGAAATGCAAATTTCCGCAAATCAACAATTTTTATAATTGAAACAGTTTTCGCAGGACTTCAATGGTTTAGTATGCTCATTAAGATCAAGTACTGTATCGTTATACCTAGTAAATCGTCTAATTTTAATTTCAACAAACTTCAAAAAAGTACTCTTACTTGTCGTAAGGCCGTAATATTTCAGTAAGTTTTATAAGGCCATGATATATATCGCCAAAAAAAGTTTCATAAAAATTGGCTTTTATTTTTTTTCAACAGTTAATTACAAGAAAACGGCTCGGTAGATTTTCACCTAAAACTAATCAGTATCATTCCTAACTAATATCTTTCGAACAGTTTTTGATTTTTTAAAATCGATTCGGTAGTATGAGCTTAATTAAATGTGGACGAAACATTTAACACTTTTCTCCAAATTACAAAGAAACGGCTCGGCAGATCGTCGCACAAAACTGACAAACGATTGTCCTCATTGAGATACATAGAATGGTTTTTAAATTTCTGAAATCGGTTCAGGTGTTTTTAAGCAAACGTCGATGAAAGGTCTAACTTTGACAAATGCCAAAAAAAAACGATACTAATTTTTGCAAACTTTGACGAATTTTTAAAGCTAAACGAGTTGTCATAGAGCCGTAATATTTTAGTATGATCTAAAAGACTATGGTGTTCACCGTCAAAAAAATAATAATAAAAATCGTCGATTTTTTGTTTAAAAACTTCATTACAAGAAAACGGCCGGCCGATCTTTACCAAAAACTAATTCACCACGATTCCCAACCATTATCTTTCGAACGGTTTTTGAATTTTCAAAATCGATTAAGAACTTTTTCCAAATTTGGTCTCATTCGATTCAGAATGACTTGAAACGTCGAGAAAACATAAAATTAGCGAATTGAATTTTTTGATGAAAACATAAACTTCTCCTTCGGGAAGTTAATAATCCAGAGAGTCCAAAACGAAATTCTGAGAATGATCTGCAGGGCTCCGTGGTTTATGACCAACCACATGATCCAAAATTTCTACAGTAACGGAAGTTATGAAAAACAGAAGTTTAATCTTTCGAAACAAATTGGATGCGCACGTCAATCCGGAAATGCAAATAGTACAGACAGCCGAAAAATTAAAACGCCTGGAAAGAAAATGGCCCAGTGATCTACCGTCCACAACATAATTTTCTCTGTATTGCACAGAAAAATTTTCAAACAAGTTATTTATAATTATTATTTATTATTGATTAATTTTATTATTATTTATTCTATTTTTTTTTTTAATTTCTGTTTTATTTTTTTTCTTGATTTTGATTTTCAATACCAGCACCTTAAACTTATAGATTATATTGTAATCTGATTGTTAAAACTAGCAAAAATAAAAAAAATCAGTGGTGTATGGCATCGTGCCTTAAGGCAAATTGCTGGAACTACCCGTACCGTAACGAAATTATCGAGGAATATTAAATGTTTTCAAATAGATTTTTATAAATATTGTAACATTGTCTAATATTTATAAGAATTATATAAACTGAATTGCAAAGTTGAAATTATTTGTTTAAAGTAAATTAGAACAGAATTAAAATTAAAACCTAAATTATTTTCAATATACAAAAAAAAAATCTTGAAAAAAAAATTTTTTTTGAAAAAAAATTAGAAACATTTTTTTTTCAAAAAGTAATTATTTTGTTGAAACAAGTTTCTACCTGATATTTTTTGATGTTTCGAACATTTTTTGAGTTTTCAAAATCGATTCAGAGTTTTTTATGGAAACGTGGATGAGAATTTTGCACCTATTTGTCTTGAACGTTTAGAATAACTAATCTATAAACGTTTAAATAGTTATATAATCTATTTATATAATTAATCGATAAAAGAAGAGTATAACTAATCGACCTGAGTGCTCATAGTTTCGTCGAATGGGTTGAAATGGGTTCAGCCATTGTTGAAGCTGGCCACAGCCGTTATTGTATTCATGTGCAATTGAATGAATCCAAGCGTATTTTCACAGTGCCCACAAACAACTCAAGTTTATGTTCAAGTGTTTGCGCATGCATATCAAGCATGTCGACGCAAGACGTAACCTAAAAATATATTTTTTTTATTAATTCATTTATTCACAGCATCAGAAGAGAATTCAAAGAATTCAGAGGGCTAATTTAATAACTTTTAATTGTCGATAACTTCATAAACTTGAATTATGAATTCGCTACAAAGTAAAATAAAAACGGGACATGTGCTGCCACACGCGGCCAACGAATTAACTTGCCGCCTTGAATGATTGCACAATTAAAATAATCGAAAAGTGCTCATGTCTACTCGTTTGTACCAGTCTGTCAAGTTGCGCCAAAACATCCCACAGATGCTACAGAATACATTTGCAAGTCACAGGTTGCGCAATTATACAGTATCGTCTGTGGCCGGCTTGAGAAAACGTCTGTGAAATATTAAAAATCGGCTTACATACACACACACACACCAGGGGCGTATCTACCGCCGTATCAGCAGTATCAGAGATACAGGGCCTCCGAACCAGAGGGTCCCGAACGAGCTCAACAGAAAGCAAAACAACAATTTTTTAAAAACTTGAATAATTTTAACGTAGTTTGCATCTCCTTTTTTTATCGAGAGGTATTGAACTTCAACTTGTAAGCTAACGCTTTAAGAGATTCTGCAAGCTCTAGCAATCAATTCAATTAGTAAAGCTTTTGCACATCCCATAAGTAAATGTTCTTGTCAACAAATCTATAAAACTAATCCAGTTTATAAATTCTTCATCGAAAATTGGAATTTGGAATTTTTATAGTTATATTTCTAACATTTTTATATTTGTTATAAAGATGGATTGCATTAACTATTTTAAAGAACAAAAGACAAAGATAATGAAGGGTTATTATGATGAGTTATCACGTTATAAATAAGATGAGAGAATCAAGATGAGTTATCAAGATGAGAGAATTTTTGACCCAAAATCTTGTTTTAATGCATACTATTGCTGTTTGGATATATTAATTTCACAAGCCAAACAAAGATTTTAAAACCTTTGCGACGTAAGTATTAACATTTGTCTTTTTGAAATCGAGAATTAATAAACATTTCCGTAAAACTATCAGCTGAATTACTGTAAAGAAATACTGTAAAAATATCTTATTATGTGATCATGACTAATTAATGGTTTTAGAAATAGGTTTGAATATAGAAATGTAAGAAATTTAAGAAATACAATAGGCTTGCTTGCATCCAGTTTTTCCAACGAAATAACGGTAACCATTTTATTCTTTCATTAAAAATTACGTAAAAACTTTAGGACTGAAATGTCTACCAGACCTGTATGTTCCTAGAGTCAGAAACTTTAAAAAATTTAAAGATTTAAAGATTTCAAAAAAAGGCAAGAGAGTGAATCTGGAATCATTTGTGAAAAATTCAGAAAATTAGAGAAAATTAGATAGATAAATAATTAGAATGATAAATAAATATTCTTTTAATTTTATGTATTTTTATATGTTGTAAATTTTTTTTTCTTCTTTAGGGGGCCCCCAAACACGCGACGCCCCTGTGACACACACATTCTTTTTCCAAATTTGGTCTGATTCTATTCAGAATGACTTTAAACGTCGAAAGAATATAAAATTAGCAAATAGGATTTTCTGACGAAAACAAACTTTTCTTTCGAAAAGTTAAAATAAATATAACCCTAACTCTAAAAGCAACTGTTGCATCTTACATCTGCCAAAGCCGTTTATGTCTATGGGCAATATAAGGTCTATGCTCTTCTTTTCTATGGGTCTATGGTAGTGCTCAAATAAAACGGGCAATTAACTAACGGGAGAACAACGGCCGACAGATAAAACGGTTTATTAAATCATTGTTTATATGTAGTTAACTTTTTGACTCACTAAAAAAGTAGTTGTCATCTTTTTATTTTGAGCAATTCGCCAATTTTGTTTTGATTCATAGGCAGATAATTTTCGTATGTGATTTTCAAAGTCAAACTCGGCAAGTCTTATAAAACTTGCGTTCCAAAGTGGTAATTCATCTAATTTAGAAGGAATATTCAAAGAGTGTATAGTAATATTTGAAAATGTATTCGCATTTTGAGTTAATATGCACATTAAAGGCGAATGGAGATATACCGGTCTATAAATATAGATCGAAAAAAACGGGTCTAACAGTTGTTTTAGCTGATATCGAAGGTCCTGTTGTTAATGGGTACTTCTGTTTAGGTAATTGTTAATCTATTTTTTTTAAAGTCTGTTGATAATTGTTATGCTTTGTAATATTGCACTTTATTTTTGTTCTGAGCATTTTTATAACTCTTTATTAATTAAGTTGAAATTTATTTACCTTAGTTAGTGCTCTAAACAAAAAAATTTCTCAATTGTTCACTATAGTACTAGTGTTTTTTTAAAAATATTAAACATTTTAAATTGTAGTCTTTGAGAGTATTGGTATATTTGCTGGTTTAGGCTTGAATAAATTGCAGAATATTAACGTAGAAACTTATTAAAATATTTCATTTGTAAAAGTATAGTTTCAACTTTTTTTTTCAAAGAATCGCAACAACTGATAAATGTTTCGATTATAAATTAAATTCTTGATAAAAATAGCCTTTCAGGTTTATATAATTTACTGACATTTTATATGAATAGTATTGTTATTTATCTTGTATATCATATATTTATTTTCGTCTTGAATAAATGCCAGAAAAATTCTGTTGAGATTTTTAATAAAACTATTTTCAGCTACGGAAACCCATGATGACGATGGCTTACCTCACACGTTGGAGCATCTTGTATTTCTAGGATCTGAGAAGTATCCTTTTAAGGGTACTTTAGATATGTTAGCCAATAGATGCCTTGCCTCGGGAACAAATGCTTGGACTGGTTAGTAAATATTTGTTAAAATAAACCATAATTTGAAGTCTGTGAAATCTCTTAATTAGTAGAAGTTTTACAAATATTAATATTTTCATTTAAACATGAATTTATATATATTTTAGATTTAATTTTATATAGATATTTACATTATATTTGCATTCCCGATTTATACTTTTTTATTAAATTTGTCTTCTATTCTGCAAAAAAGACTTAAATGTGTTTTATTTTTCATAGATGTTGACCACACATGTTACTTGATTACTACAGCAGGGAGTGGAGGGTTTTTATCTCTTTTGCCGATATATTTGGATCATGTGTTATACCCCACCTTATCGGTGTGTGCAATTTTATTTCAAAAATATACTGAAAACATAATCAATAATTAATTCAATAAACTTATACATTATAAAAATAATAATAATAAATTGTATGCAATTGTTCTATTCTTTTTATAATTTGGAAATAGAATCAATGAAGTAATAATTAACCTTTTCTTATCCTTAATTATCCTCAGCTTTATTTAACTACAATATTGAATATTACAGGATTCGGGTTTTGTGACTGAAGTTCACCACATAGCTGGTGATGGAACAGATGGCGGAGTGGTATATTGTGAAATGCAAGGTCGTGAAAGTACAGGAGAAAGCAGAGTACACAGAGAATTATGTCGGAATATGTATCCAAGAAGTGGCTACTCCAGTGAGACTGGAGGCATAATGAAAAACTTACGAGAAAGTACCACAAATACAAAGGTAGTTGATTGTGGAAAATGTTTCATATTTGATTTTTATATACTTATGAAAGGATAAAATGAGTAAAATTTAATTTGTCAGAAGTCAATCTACATTGATACCTGGCCCACAATAATATTGATTATATAGTAAGAATCTGTTTTTGGTACTGTTTTTTTTTACTGTTTTTAAGTTCCAGAGAATTAATAATTCAAAATTTAACTTAATCATTTATACATATAAAATTTGATCAGCCTCAAGGTATTCCTTTCTATAATTATTAGGTAATACGTACACATTTTTTTATATATAGGTTCGTGCTTACCATGCTGAATACTACAGACCAGAAAACTTATCAATAATAATATCTGGAAAAGTGAGTCATCAAGCTGTATTTGCAGCGCTTGCTCCTGTAGAAGATAGAATTATGCGGGATGTAAGTCAGATTATGCATGTTATTCTTTTTTTAGTCTGTTAAGTTTTGAACTTTCTTCAAGATAGTTATGAATATAATTTTGTAAGTGATAAAAAATTATGTATTTGCAGTAATTTTATTTGTGTAAAACTAAATTTTACAAAATGTTTCCAATTTGACTATGCATACACAATATAGTATCAAATGTTTTTCACATATTTTTACTTTTTTAATAGAATAGAAATAGACCATTTGCACGCCCATGGCAGTCTCCAGTAGAACCACTAAGGACTTCTAAGGAAATTCTTGTCAAATATCCTTCAGATGAAGAAGATGCAGGAATGGTTTATATTGGATTTATGGGACCAGAATCAAAGAACATTCTTCTTGTTAATGCTTGTGCAATTTTACTCAGGTTAATGAGCAATGCCTCCATATTCTTTTCAAATCTCTTTAAATTTAAGCAAAACTATTTAAAGGCTTATTTTATATAATGATTTTTGGTTTATTTTTAATGCCATATTAAATTATTTATTCATGCAATTAAAACTGCATATGTTTAAAACAATATTTAAATATTGAATTTAAACATTTAATATTTAAATATATATATATATATATATATATATATATTATATTGTATAAAATATTTTATTAGGTATTTGACAGACAATTCCATAAGTCCAGTTCAACGTGATATGATTGAGTGTGAAGACCCTATGGCGAGTATTGTAAGTGAATTTTTTTTCAGCACAAAATACTTAAATAGATTGTTTTGGGTATATATATCTATTTTTTAGGCTGGGTATGGTATCACAGAGAACTCTCAAACGATGCTGCAGATATATTTTGAGAACGTACCCTCTTCTAAAATTAATGAGGTGTCTGGGAAATTAAAATCTATCTTAACAAAAATAGGATCTGGTGAGTAGTATCTTAAATCTTACTTTCTCTCTCTATATATATATATAGGATGGCAAATGATATATCATATAATAAAAAAGAAAAATGGCTGGTTATTAAAATAAAATCAGAGCTAGGTTCAAAGACATTATTAATAAATCAGATGTTTTGAGTATTGCATTTGAATTATTATAATTCTACCTCTTCTAATTTTTTTTCTTGCATAATATATCATGTGACATGTGAGATATATAATTATTTAGCTTTAGTTAAATAATATCTTAACCCTTTCGCTACTGATGTTGTCTCTGGATATGACGTGCTGTTTGTAAGGATGTCGACGAATTGTTGTGTTTGTCTTTGTTTCAAGATTTATCTAAAAAAACGTGATTTTTAATATTATTGATATTAATTCATTTTTATTGATATGATTGAGTGTGATATCTTAAAATATATCATTGCATCTGGTCAATGCAGTAGTGCAACTGAGCGGCACGCTGTTCCTGTACAGCAGCGAAAGGGTTTAACTAAATACAGTGGTATCCTGGCATACAAGTTTAATTCATTCCACAATCACGCTCATATGTCAAAGCCATTTTTCCATAAATACATTGAAATGCCAATTTGTCCTAGCATTCTGGTTACATTTTTTGAATATTAAAAATAAATTTACTATTTATTAATTTAATTATTGTTTTTTTCCTGTATATTTATGATATTGAGGAAAAGAGTTAGACATATTAGACCTTTTTTCGGGTGATTCCAATGACAAGTTCTAAAAGTTCAGAAGTCTGCATATAAATTGTGAGGCACTTAGCGGGAGTTATACCCTTTATCAACATCTTTTATTCGTTTATTATTTATGTCTTTTTTATATTTTTCAATAATTTCAATAATTCCATGCTTTAAGGGATTACACCACTGTAAATTTTCGAAAAACCAAAAAAAAAATTTTTTTTAGGCTTAAAATATACTTCGAATCTTTTAGAATATGAGAAATATTTCATACCTAAAACTTTATTTTTTACTTGTAATTATGAGCTTTTTTCCATGCGCGTCGGACTGCTCTAAACCGACACCGCTCAAACATTAACAAGAAATATTATAAAGCAAAATGACGACGTGTATCTTCTAAAATATACTAAAATATGTTATTATATTGTATAAATAAACTGTAAAAGCATTTTTAATCAATAGATAATAGGTGAAGAAACGAAACATATAAGGATTGACTATATTTCGACTGATATTGCTGAGAATAATTTCAACGATGGTCTAATCAATATTTTTTAAATGATAATAGTTTTGAAGATTAATATTGGCATTTAAACATGTAAGTTTTGTCTTGAAGTCGATTACAAACGGCTTAAACATGCCGAACGGTCTTTGACGAATGCGCCAAAAGCAGAACACTCTAATATAAAATCAAGAGAAGAAAATAAGAAAAAAAATATAAAAATAGAATGGCATCAGTATATTGCTGAGATATCAGATTAATAGTAAAAAAATCAAACTGACAAATTTTTCATTTTTCCTTATCTATAAAATGTTTCAAAACTTTGAACGCGTTTCTCTCGAAACACAATTTTTCAACGCGTCACGCGAAATAACTAATTTGAATTTTTTTCATTTGAATTTCTTAAATAGCTGTACAATCACTATTAATGTGTAGTCAAAATTTCAAATAAAATATAAAATAATCCTCGATATGTTCGCGAGGCTAAGTCGTTACTTAACAATTAATATTATATATGAGTGAAGTGACTAGTTATAATATAATTTACCGTCATAAAACATATAGAACATTTCTATGGTTGACGCAATTTCTCGTTTTTTGTTCATTTTCCTAAAAACATCTACTCTAACTTGCTCTAAGCTCGTATCTCGAATTTTGCTCGTATGTCGTAGCGAATTGCTCCTTTGGTGGCTCATATCTCTAATATGAGTCCAATATATGTCAGGTTGCTTGAAAGTCGGGGTAACACTGTATATTGCTACTGATTTTAATGTGATGAACTTTTTATTCTTATTTTTGATATATTAAATTTTTATTATATTAAAATGACACATTTTATATAGGAAAGGAGAAACTAGATATGGAACGTATTAAAACTATTCTTGACAAACACAATCTTGAAACATTAACTGCTTTAGAAAGTAGTCCTCACAATACCATTGCATATACGTTAATTGCAGACTTCCTTTATGGCAGTACAGTTGATGATGTAAGAAAGCTTTTTTAATTAAAATATTACCATATATTTGTAAAATTAAAAAAAAAAATGAAATGTATAATTTATTTATTAAATACTACTTAATCACTAATTAAACTAACTTGAATTCAGTTGGATCATCGCTTGAACTCATCACGTGATATAGAGGTTTTATTATCAAAAGGAGAAGAATTTTGGTTAGATTTATTGAACAAATACTTTGTTCAAAACCATTCAATAGTGGTCAAGGGACTGCCTAGTATTCAAGAACAAAATATCATGGCGGAGCAAGAGAAACTGAGGATTGAAGAACAGGTATTATTTATTGCATTCAAAGATAATATTTTAAAATTAGTAATATTTTTTTTTTTTTTTATAAGAGGGCAAAGCTTGGAAAAGATGGTTTAGAGAGCCTGGAGAAAGAATTGAATAAAGCTATGGTAGCTAATGAGGTATTATTACTTTTAAATAAATAGTTTAATTCTTATTCAATAGGACTACTTTGTTCAAATAACCAACTTTATTTTTGCTATTGTTACTGCACTTACAGAAACTGTAATATAACCAATTTATATAACCTGTTTATAACTATTTTAGGTTGCACCGTCAAAGGAAATTTTAACTAGCGTGCCTGTACCCAGCACTTCCGACATTACATTTCACAATGTAAAAACATGGACAAATGATAATAATCATGCAGAATTTTCAAATGAACTATCAATTGATATAAGCACTCTTCCTATTCATACCAGAGTCCATGATGTGCAAACAAATTTTGTCTATGTGAGGATTTTTTTTTTTTGTCATACTGTGTTTATTTTTGTATTAGATGATTTGTTAACTGATTCAAATTGGTTCAAGTTTAAAATGCTTAAAGATTATTTTTAATTTTATAATAACAGATTTTTTTGACTATGGAAAGTTCTTCACTGCCACATTTCTTACGGCCCTACTTACCATTGTTTTTGGACTTATTGATGGAATCTCCTGTTTTAAGAAATAATGTCTTAATTCCATATGAGGAAGTAGTTTCTGGTTTAGAAAAGGACACTGTTGCAACCGATTATAAAATAGGACTGGAGCACTATAGTAGATTCAGCTGCGGACCATTTTCTAATGTTGTTACTATAGCAATGCAGGTGAAATGAAAAAATATGAATTGACAAAATCAATAATTTTATTCAGTTCGGAACTATAATTGTATTAAATATTGGTCATTTTATTCCGACTACTTTTTTCTAGCATTTTTGGTGTAGAATACAAAAATTAGTTGTAAATAGCATATTTCTTAAGAAAAGTTGAATGAACTTTTCGATACGCATACATAATCAAATTAATCAATAACAATTGAGCTATTTAGGTAAAATGTTCAATTGTTATTTTGAAAATAGAATTTTTGCCTTTGCTCGGGAAAACATAGTTTGCAAATCGGAATTTATTGCGAGAACAAAATTCTTCTTTGGAAGTGCAAAATGCACAATTTCTTTTAATTGTATATTTCCATGAGCATATTTTTTAACTAACATTCTATCATTTAAATGTATCATATTCAACTAAACTAATATCTACATGCAAATAGCTTTTATTGTTTTAAGCAAATCATACTTACCTAAAGTTATTTTAGGTAGAAACAAAGAAATATAGCACAGGTGCCCAGTGGATGATTGAGCTATTGCACAATACTAAATTTGTTCCAGATAGAATACGGGTATTAGCAAATAAACTGATTAATGATGTTGCAACAAGCAGAAAAAGCGGAGACAAAATTTGTAAAGAATTGAGGAAGATTTTAACTTACAATAAATGTGAGTGTATAGTGAAATATGCTGATAATGGAAATTATTCATAGAATTCTTGTACTGGAATTATTACTTAAATATACTGAGAACAATTTATATTTCAGATTCTAACGTTCATGCGTGCAATATGTTACATCAGTTGAAATTTTTGAATTCTGTTTTAACAAAATTGAATAATCCAAATACATCATCCAATGTATTGAATGATTTAGAAATGGTAAGAAAGTATTTGATGCAGCCTTCGAATATGGCATTGCATATTGTTGCTAAATGGTCCAGCCTTAGAAAAGAATGGGATAAGGAACATCGAGAATGCTCTTTAATGGGTGTGTGGTCAGACTTAGTGAAAGATAAATCTGAGCATCCACTGAAAGGGTATGAACTATTTAATTATTTTTACTCATTTTTTCATTATCATTCAAAAATGGTTGGTTATTTCATTTGTTTCTAATTATATTATACAATTTTCATTCTAATACATACCATAAAAATTACACATATTTATTTATCGCAATATGATGAATATTCAATTCATTTCAGTCTTAATGTTACTCCAGATTGGAAACTGATAGAAAAAACTGTTGGAGGTTACATTGTTGGTTTGGGATCGATTGAATCTTCTTACATGAATCAGACTGCACCCAGTATAAATGATTTTAAGCATCCTGATATGGTGCCACTTATGGTGTACATACAATATTTAACACAACTAGAGGTAAATAAATGTTTGATGAAATATTTTGATTGATCTATTCAGTTTATAATTGGTCATTGTAATTCCTACTTTTTCTATGGTTTTAAGTTGAATTCACCAATGTTGCTATTGCTGATCATTAATTACAGTATAAAATTACAGTATTAATTACAAGTATAAATCTTTTTCAATTGCACTTATTGTAGCATAAAATATGAACATTTTTTTAACTTCCCGTAGGGTAAGTTATTGTAATGGGCCGAAAATCGAAATTGATAATTTTTACATTTCTCGACGTTTTGAAGGTTTCTGAACATTTTGGCATACCTCAGAAAAAATGGATGTGTGTGTGTATATGTATGTATGGATACAAATTTCCAGTCACGTTTTCGGGCGCACGGATCAACCGATTTGAATGGTTCAAAAAACATTTGATTCCTATTCATAGGGAAAAGAGCTGATTAGTTTTTGGCGAAGGTAGGTCCAGCCGTTTCGGAGATACGGAGCAAAGAGTGTGTTTTTTTTTTTTTAGTTTTTTTTGTATATCGAAAATAATTCAGATTTTATTTTTATTCTGACTAAAGTTCTAATATAACTTAAACAAATAATTTTAAATTTGCAATTCAGTTTATATAATTCTTATAAATATTAGACAATGTTACAATATTTATAATAATCTATTTGAAAACGTTCAGTATTCCTTGAACATTTCGTTACGATACGGGAAGTTCCAGCAATTTGCCTTAAGGCACGATGCCATACACCCCAGTTATCAATTGTATTTGTGTATTTCTATTATTGGAATTAAAAAAATTTATTGTTTCTCAAGGGTCCTATGTGGAAGCAAATTCGTGGCAAGGGTTTATCATATGGTTTTGGCATTTATCTTAGACCGAATGAAGGCCTTCTAACTTTGTTCTTGTATAAAGCTACTAATCCAGTTATGGCTTATGAAGAAGCAAGGAATATTGTTGTAAGTCTCTTTTATCTGAATAATTGAAAAATTCAATGAATTTTACAGCAATAATTGTTGGAACTTTATATCCTTTAGAAAACAAAATTACAAGAAGATGATTGGGATAATGAGTTATTACAATCTGCGAAAAGTTCTTTAGTCTTTGAAATCATTGAACGTGTAACAACAATTGGCAGTATGGTCAATCAAAGCTTGTTATTGGCATTTAAAAATGTTGATAATGAGTACAATAGGTATAATGAATAATGCAGTATGTAATATGTTTATGAAAGTATAATTCACCATGTTTATTTTGTAATATAGACGATTAGTTGATGCAATTGAAAAGGTGACGATTGCTGATCTAAACCGTGTTGGTCCGAAATGGCTTGCACCATTATTTGACCCTAAAGTTGCTTTAACAAGTTTAGTGTGTACTCCTGATAGAGTTAGCGAATTACATGAAGGTTTTCAAAGGTATTTTTTTCTAATTTAACTTAATACAAAAACTTGAATATTTTATTTCTATAAAAGTTAATAATAATAATAGTTCTATAATTAAAAAATATATTTTTTCAGACTTGGTCATGATTTAAAGATGTGCAATTCATTGGATGAAAGCCCTATGTCGTGTATCGTTTTCCCTGAACAGGCTTAGATATTGTTGTAGTTTTTTTTGTTTGTTGACGTTACAATTAATATTTCTTAGTGTTATATAAAATAATTTTGTAAATCTTAATACAAATTTTTAAATTACTGTGTTTGTATTTTATGTATTATAATTTAACAATATATAGGCTCTTATAATAATATTTTCACTGCCTGTGCTTATATTTAGGAATTTTTTTTTGATCCCAAAAAACTTCTAAGAAAAATCCAAAGTTAAGAGATATTATAGCAAATGAGTTTAATTTTTTTCTGTAGCTTTAGTGGTTCTCGCATTATCATTTTTTCTTCTATGGGGTTTTACATTTGAGAATAGTTACAAGAATAATTCCTGAACAAGCAAACTCGACTTTCGAATAAAAAAAATCTGTACAGTAGCATTTGTACCAATACTTTTCCAATTTTGATGTCCTGCAACGTCCAGAAAACAAAATTAGCATATCAATAAACATCGACCACGGAATGTATGATTCATTCATCGATTATGATGTGAATTCAAAGAAAAATTGTCCACAAAAAGGTAACAAATACTTTCTATATTATAATATTCAAATATAATATACAATTATGCTGATGATAATTCAAAATCTATTACATAACATTACTTATTCACAATTTAAATTTAATTTTTTGAATTTTTAAACTAGATTTAAGATTGTTGTCTAAAACGAAATGGCTATAATCTTTAACTTTGAATTAGATTCTAATCAGGTTCGTACCTGACACTGACCAGATTCTGAGTAGGTAGGAGGTCCTCACAAGATTCCGACAGGATTTCTAGTAAATTTCCATTAGATTCTGATTAGAATTGTTTCATGTTCTAATTATATTCATGTTAGCTTCTCTTAAAACTTTTATCAGATTCTGTGCCTTATTCATACAAGATTCATTGATTGATTGGACTTTGATAATTATATTCATATTATCTTCTCTTGAAACTTTTACCAGATTATTTCTGAACCTTATTCATCGATTGTACTTCTACTTCATTATATTCTCACCAGAATCTTTTTAGATTCTGATTGGATGTAGATAGATTCCAGCATGCTTTTGATTGGATTTTAACTAGGCTCTTATTATTGGAACTTGGTTTATTTTGACAGGGATTTTATTTATTTTTTGTTAGATTTTTGACAGAGTCTTGCTAGCCTGGTCCAATTAAATTCTGCTTAGAATTCATATGAGATTCAACTAAATTATTATTGTATATTCTTACTAGCTTTTTTTAGATTCTTATTAGGTTCGAACGAGATGCTCGTTAGGTCCGTACTAATTTCTTTCTTTATTTATTTATTGTTTTTTTATTTCATATGTATTTTATTTTAATCGTAGCAGTCACATCAGTTGATCATATCCCGTTCCGTTTTTTAATTCGCATCAAGTAACCCGGAACCTCCCGGAACAAAACATAATCGGATAAAATTCACAACCGGGGAACAAGTGTTTTGTTGAGAGGAAAAATTATTGGAAAATGCGATTTCATAAATTTAAATGGTTTTATTAAGTTTTTTAAAACAATGTTCAAGGGATCGGTGATAAAGAAGAGGAATACAAAATGGTAATATTTTATTAAATTCAATTATTATTTATTTAATTATTTGTATAATGTATATATATATATATATATATATATATATATATATATATAATCACCTTAATATTTATATAAATATTAAATTGATTTTAGCCAAAAGATAAAATTAATAAAATGACATTTTCAAATTTTTTATAAAATATTTTTAGTTTCTTGATGGAAATTTCTTTTAGAACTCTATTTTAAAACAAATTTATATTTTTATTAAAATTTGTCGTTTAAATTGTTTTCGCTCATTCAATTACTTTTACAAATAAATTATATAGTTTGAAAAAATTCTATTATCTAGTTTTATAAAAGATGAACAATGTAAATTAAGGTGATCATATTTTATAATCCGTGACGAAAACTTGAGCGCAGAGGTGGTAATTAATCTAAATAACTTAAAAAAAAAACATTTTTTTTTTTTTAAATAATTCGTTAATAAAATTTATGCTTAACAAATACTACTTAAAAATGTAATAAATACATTTAATTAATCTTTTTTTTTTGTTTAAATTCGAATTAAACAATTTAAAGTTAAGGTGACCATATTTTTAAATCCGAGTTTCGTCTCTTGAAACGGTGGAATTAATTTAAATAACTTTAATAATTATTTTTTTAATAACAATTGTACTTAACAACCAGTATTTAAGAATATAATAAATATACGTTATTTTTCAAAATTGATAAACAAAATTTAATTCGAATTATTGAATTCACAATTATTTTTTATATTTAAATTTTTTTATTATTTAGAATTAGGAATCTTTTTGCGCAAATGTTTTTCATAATTTCTAATTGAGAATTATATCATCGCTTTTTAGTGTCTATTTTAAAAGTTTTCACAGTTTTTCCGGTCCAAATTTTATAAATTTTATTTAAAAAATAAAAGGATTCAAATGAAAATCTGAATCCTTGGGAAATGTTGATTCTAGGGGCGCAAGGTAGAAAATTAGACTGTATGATCACTTAATTATATAAATCTTTTGTGTATTACTGTGATAAGAGATGATTTGTTTTCAGATTTGATTAGCAATGGCTTCAACGGAGATTTTTACCAAGCAAAAGAATTTATACAAGATACTTTTAAATTGATTTTTTGAAAACTTATTGATCTTCAAACCTAGGGTGGCAATTAACAAAATGAGTAATTCAGTTTTATTCTACCACTACATAAATTCCGTTTAACTCTTTTCATGGATAATTGGGAGAGTTTATGAAAACGTGAGGATTTGACCACAAATGCCTGAACTTGTTTCAGAGGATGACATGAAAATTAAATTGAACGTTTCGAAACGGATCCTTAGCATGATTCTAAGTACGTTCACACATTGTTAATAACAGTTTATGATTATACATAAGAAGTATTAACAGCTAATTGAAGATGTGGAATAATTGACATCTGGTTTTAAAGATATTCTACTGTGAAACAATTGCCAATTATTAAAAGCCAGTATGAATAAATTAGAGATCCTTTAATAATCCGTTTAACATATTATGAAGACGACATCTTTAATCTTTGTCATCGATTTTTGGGGATTTATCGTTGATCAAGGGTTGAGGATAATACAATACGCAAATTTAGTGGAGAGATGACAATGTCTCATCTTCATCTTTCATCATATCTGTTGTTGAAATGCGGCCTTCTGGTAGTGGCAATCCATAAAAATTCGTGAAGAATCATGGCAAATAAGCAGGATTATGTCTTCTCATTCGAAATCCTTCAGTAATTTTATTATGTTATACTTTATTAATTCTATATATTTGTTTATATATTCTATATATATCTGGCACTGTTACACTTGTGAATGGTTTGTTTTCAAAATTTATTTTGTATATATCCTTTCAACACTTTTTTTTTGAAATGTAATATTTTTATATTCGTGAATTATTACTATAGATTATAATCATCATCAAGCTTTTTTTATACTACTTTTTATACAACTTTTTTTATAAAAGATACATATATTTTAAAAGATACAATAAAGTTGTTAAATATTCAAAACAATTTTTATTTAAATATATTGTTCATTTATTTGAAACAAATGATAGTTCATGAATCTGCTGTTTCATATTATAGTCATACTTTTTTTATATTTGTACTTATTTATCTATGATTATAGTCTTTAATGAAAGAATAACGCTATACACAAAAATGACCAATGTTTTTGGAATTTACGTAATTTTACTAATTTTATAAGTCTTGATACAAATTTGTAAATGTTACAAATAATGTTATTAATTTAAATATGTTATATTATTAAGCTCATATTTCCTTTAACATTCTCTACAAACTATAAATCATAAAAACATACAGTCCAGTCATTTAAGATTAAATTAGGTAAGAATCTCGGAATTCTAGATACCCAGCTGTAAGTATGTAAATATTTGTATATTGACACCCTACCATACATAGGTTTTGAGACAACTTTAGGGTGTCAATATACAAGTATTTGCAGACTTACAGCTACGTATCTGAAATTCAGACGTGAACTTACTATAATGATCTCATTATAAGAGATTTTACTTATTATATTTGTGGGTATATATATATATATATTAGGGTGGTCCTTAAAATGGTCATTTTCGAATTTCCTTGCTCCCAGGGGCTCAAATGGTTCCAAATAGATAAAAAACAATTCTCTGAAAATTTTAGCTCTTAATATTAACGTTTAGATAGAGCGCAATTCAATCAAAGTTTTGTATGGAAATAGCATGGAAAATTTTTCAAAAATTTTAAAAATGTTTTTTAAATGTAATTTAGCGAACAAATGAATGAATAAAACTCATTCATTTGTCGCTAAGTTATACCTAAAGCATTTTTTTTTAATTTTCAAAAAATTTTCCATGCTCTTTCCATACAAACTTTGATTGAATTGCGCTCTATCTAAACGTTAATATTAAGAGCTAAAACTTTCAGAGAATTGTTTTTTATCTATTTGGAACCATTTAAGCCCCTGGGAGCAAGGAAATTCAAAAATGACCATTTTAAGGACCACCCTAATATATATATATATATATATATATATATTTAAATAAATAAATATATATATATATATATATATATATATATATATTTAAATAAATATATAATATCTAAATATAATATATATACATAGTCACCTTTTATGTAAATTATAATTTCATTACATAAATACAGGCAAAATTGTTTACATTATAATCATACAATGCTTGGACGTTTCTAGTTCAATATATAATATAACTTATATATTTTGTATATTAGATTTCCATAAAATTATCTTCAAATTTATTTTTAGAGAGCGTGTTTAAAATTTTCATTTTATAAACGTCAACTAAGTTTCTGGTGCACAAAAATCGGAGGAATTAATATTTTAACATAAGAATTCAGATGAGAAAACTAAATATTTCATTCTATAAAAATTTCATGGAATGTCAAGCAGCTACAATGGTTTTAGAAACATTTTCTCAATTGTTCATTATTTACTTATTGCCTTATATCAAGAGAGGGTTCAACACTTTAAATTATAAAATATGCACATTTACAAAGCATTATCAAGATCCCTGTTTATAGGTAATGTTGACATGTAATGAGACTGAATTTGTTGATGCAATCGAGCAATTTCAGGATCATGACGTGCAAATTTTTGTAACATTTGTGAGAATTGAACAATTCCTTCTCGTCCTTCGGGAAACCCATAATCCTTCAATACTTCCATTTCTATTTGCATTATGAGAGGAAATATTAACTGCATCATTTTTAACATTTCACTACCAGCGCTTTCTTTAGCCGCACTGATTTTACATAAATTTTCAGAGGAATTAATGGCGCTAATGATGTCTTCTAGAACTGAACGCGCACATTCATTGGTAAAGTTTGAGTAAGACATTTTTTCAAATTGAAAGAATATATTTAATTTCCTAATCCTAATAATAAAAGAAGATAGAAGTCGTTTTTCTAGGCATTACTATATTGACATTACAGTCCAATTTAAAAATTCGATTTGATGATCGTCCTGACACAAAAAAGCAAAACACGAAAACAAACAATCTTCATATATCGCTTTATCCATAATATCGATACATGACAGACAATACGATAAACTGAATATCGAACAGCAAGATAGCCAATATATAATATTCTAAAATAGTCTAGGGCAGGGCTTCTTAAACTACGGGTCGAGAACCCTAATGGGGTCACAAAAGATTTTAATATCAAATATTTATATACCATTTTATAACATCACTAGAGTTAGCAGAATTCAGTGGACTTGCAGCTTTTTTTCAGAATAATTTATATCTAACCAAGCTGTATTATTATTATATAGTATTTGTCAGATATTTCACAAAGTTAATCGAGTTTTTCAAGGGAAAAAACTGCGATAATTTTTTTTCACAAAACAAAATTGAAAGTTTTATCAAAAAGATAAACATTTGAAAATGTAGGGTCAAAATTGTTCGAAATTATTTTCAATGACGCGAAAATAATCGATAATCGATTGTACAACATTTATTGCAAAAATTATATGCATTAAAGTGCAATTTTTAATTTTATGTTTTTGTATGTTTCAAAACAAATGTTAAAACTATATATTTTTATATGTAGGTATATGTATATTATTACCTAATAACTTAGTCATCGACAATTTCGAAAACACGGATCAAGCGATTTATATAATTCAAAAAGCATTTAATGGAAGCGTGCTGATTAATTTTTGGCTAAGATAAGTTCAGTCGTTTTGAAGATACGTGGCAAAAAGTTTCAAATATGGTAATTTAGTTTTTGAGATAAAGGACTGTCTGATTCGAATGATTCAAAAAACATTTTTTTTGTATTGACAAAATGAAGAACTGCTTAAATTTTTGGGAAAAAAGTAAAAGAATCCCATTTGGTGGTCGAAAATGATCATTACATATATGTACATCAAATTATCAGATACTTTATAGGAATTTTAATAATAAGTACAAATTTTGTTTACATTTCTATTGGTTCCGTACCAACGTTTATCCGTTAGACTGCAACGCGACGCTTATGCGCTTCGATATTACGTCTGTATACAGCTAACGCAGTGCGATTGCTTCGAACAAAAAGTTGAAAATTATCAAAAAAAAGCAACACATAAAAGAAAAATAACATATATCAAATAATTCATTTTTTTCAAATCTCCTAAAGCCCTCCAGCTTTGTAATAAATAACATAGTATTAGCTTCTAGGCAAGATGCCATGCATTATTACTAGTTTATTTTTCTTTTATGTTTGTGTAAGGTCGTCAAGAAACTCCCAATCATAAATGGGGTCGACAAATGTTTGGGAATGACAAAAGTTTAGGAAGCCCTAGTCTAAGGTTGCCAATAATAAAAAGTTGATCATTAAATACAGATTCGCCGCAATGATTTGTACTATTTAATTCGAGTAATTTTACATAATAAAGTTTAAAATCGCTATTTTTATTATCAGATAAGTAATATTTGACTTTGATAATGAAACGATAATTATATGGCCCGGTCATTTTTTTTTCAAAATTAATATGATATCGATAAAAAGAAATAGCCTAAGAAGTTGTACAAATATCGATATAGTATTTCTATCATGTCAATAGGTTAGGTTCGTGTATTTTGACACGTATGAAACAAATTTATATCAACTTAATTTAAATAAAGTGTGTAAAGTGTTAAATTATTTAATTTAGTTAGTTAGTTCCTTATAATATGGCCGGACAAAAATTTCAATACGATGAGAGTGGGACTACATTTTTTTATTTCTTGTTGTCGTTCTTATTTCTAATCTTGGTACCGGCCACATTTTATTACTGGCCTAAGAAAAAGAAAGGTGAAATATGCAATATTATCTATTTAATTCTATTCATCTTACTTTACAGGCATTATCCTTTTAACTTATACGTTATTTTATACTCTATAATATCACCTTAATTATATATGTGCTTTTCATTGTTCTAAAGTTCGCCCATAATTTCTGACTCATGTGTTAATTTTCTAAATTTCTTGGAAAGATGATAATCATAGAATTTAATGCGCTATATTCTTAAACAATTGTATAATGATTATTATTATAATTATTTTATTTTTTCAGAAAATGAAGAAAAATCATTATTATGCAATTGCCCTGATTGTATATCAAAAAGACACTATCTTGCACGGAATCAGAAACCGTACTTTCAAATATTTAAAAGAGTTGCAATAGTGACTGGATGGCTGGCTCTAATATATTTAACCTACAAAGTTTCTCAATTTGAACATGAAACCATTAAATTTGATCCTTATGATATTCTCGGTGTGCCCGTTGGTAGTTCTGAAGCTGTTATTAAGAAGGCATATAGGTAAATTTTTCATTTCTGAGATAATCCAGAAATTATCGCCTATATTATTATAATTCAACATACTATATTGATATAATATTGGGTCATTATATATATTTTTTTAAAAAAAAGTTTCACTATACGATATATACGATTATTATCATTTTTTTAACAATCAAATTTTTTATATGTGCTTAAATTTTACTAGATTATTTGATGCAGATATGAAATGAATTTTATGAGTTTAAATCAATAAATAATATCTCCATTGTTTAATGAGTTCAGATCAATAAAAAACACCTCCATTGTTTAATTAGTTTAGATCAATAAAAAACATCTCCATTGTTCAATGAGTTTAGATCAATAAAAAACATCTCCATTGTTTAATGAGTTCAGATCAATAAAAAACATTTCCATTGTTTCATGGTTCAGATCAATAAAAATAAACATCTCTATTGTTTATCTTGATAATATTTTTAAATCATTTAGTGCAGTAAACGGAGAGGAAAAAAGGGTATAAACTCTGAATTTTTTTTACTGTGCTCAGATTTGCTTGAAATTTTAGAAGTAGGTTCATCTTACCTCAAGTTCAAAAAAGAAAACTATTTGGACTCCACCATCACCCCCCAGGGGAGTTGCAACCCTTAATGAATAACTGGGGATTGAGTCATTTCATCGCTAGAAAACGTTTTTAATATTACAGGATATAATTAAAAAGTATTTTTTAATAAATTTACCTTGCAATAAAATTATTTTCAGCTCCGTGAAAACCCTTCAAACAACCCCTAAATTGAAAAAAAATGCTTAAAAATAAATTTTGGTATGATATAATAAGAATTACGTATAAATTAAATAATATTTAACGTTTAAAATTTTGATTATCAAGGTTTTAACCCTTTTTAAACCCTTGAAAACAACCCCTTGATGAAAAATTTATATAAAACTATATTAATTTATTTAAAGCAAACCTTTTAGCCATAAGATACTTGACTATAAGAATAAATAGATGTATTTCATGATCAACATAATAATACAAAATTCAGTGGCTGATTTATCAAGATTTTTATTGACATTATTTTGTTTATTACATGATTTTTGTTAAAATTTATATTTTAGGAGATATTTGCAAAAAAACGTAGAAGAACGCCAAAAATATATGAATTTTTAGTAGCCAGTCACTTAAAAAATATTAGTTTTTTTGAAAAACCTTAAAAGACATTTTTTTCTTATGATTAGTTCTTCTGTCGTTATCCGACATTATTTTGAAAATATAAAATTACATAACTGAGAAGGGGTCATCCCCCGGGGGGTGGTGGCGGAATTGTCTTCACTGTTGAACTTGAGATTGAGATAAACCTAATTCCAAAATTTCATGTAAATCGGAGCACAGTAAAAAAATCCAGACCCAAAACGCTCCATTGACTCATTGTAATTTACTCGTTCAAAATCCTGAAATAATATTTATTATTATTGCTTATGGCTTTCTTATGAATATGTAAATAAATTATAAAGAACACATTGACATTTATTATAAAAAATAACTTAATGCCAATGATAGTTTCTACAATGTGTTGTTAATATTTATAGAAAGCTCTCAGTGATTTTGCATCCTGACAAAGAAACTGGAAATGAGAAAGAATTCATGAAATTAACCAAAGCTTACCAGGTATTCATTAAATTATTTAACTATTCTATTAAACATCATCTATGTTATTTGACCTTGTTTAAATCATACTGACTAATTTTATGTAGGCTTTGACTGATGCAGAAGCTAGGAAAAACTTTGAGAAATATGGAAATCCCGATGGTCCAGGCGTTATGTCGTTTGGTATTGCTTTACCATCATGGATTGTACAGAAAGAAAATTCAATATTTGTATGTATATTTCTTTCCATTTAACCTTAAATGACTTACACTTGGACTAATTTAAACATATTGGAAGTTAAATAAACATACAACTTTATTTTCATGATTACATAAAGTTTTAATTTGAATTATCTGTTATCTAATGATAAAAAATTAAATTTTCCTCAAATCAAAACGGACTAAATGAATCAAATTTAAGAGATCAAGATATTTTCGGCAAATTTAGCCTTTGTATATTTCAGGTGCTCGGATTATATGCTGCTGTATTTATGGTGGCATTACCTGTAGCTGTAAGTTTAAAATAATATTATTAAATTTCTTAGTTAAAATTGATATTGATATTTTGCAATTTATTTTGTAGGTTTGTACCTGGTGGTATAGAACGATAAAATACTCTGGTGATAGAGTTTTGCTAGATACAACACAAATGTATTATTATTTCTTATACAGGTATAGTAAATTAAATTTACCATACAAGTATGGTATATTTGAATTGATATTAAAATTTATAATTTATGATTTAGAACACCTGAAATGTCCTTAAAGCGTGCTCTCATGATTTTAGGTAAGTGAAAACGTTTTTAAACTAATGATGAACCATTTTATATTTATAAGATATAATTTGTCTAGTTTCTATTTACATATTACGAAATATTTTAGGAGCAAGTTTGGAGTTTGATAAGAAACATAATTCAGAAGTGGTAGAAAGACTTAGTGATAATATGGAGGTATGATTTATTATCTTATTCTATGTAGTTGTTAGTTGTTTTTATTATTATTATTTTTTAATATTAATTTAATCTTTAATCAACAGGTTCCAGCTCTCATAAAACTTTTGCCTAATCTCAATGAAAAAAATAAGGAACAACCTTTATGTAGATTGTACTCTATTAAAGCTAGAGCTTTACTGCATGCACATTTATCACGCATGAGGCTTAACCCAGAAACTTTAGATCTCGATAGAATGCTCATTGTTAAGAAATGTCCAAGACTGATAGAAGAAATGGTTTGCTGTGTGAATCAGCTGATAGTTTTAGCTTACGCTAGGAGAAGTAAGTAGTTTTTTGTGTATCCTAGTTATGAAATAAATGGACAAAAATATTTTAATATAAATTTTTATTATACTCAATGCAAAATATTTAATTTCAGTACAAAGACTGATATCGATTGAAACATTAGAAAATTGCATGAAACTTTCTCCAATGATTGTCCAAGGTAATTTAGAATTTAGTTATTTTAATCAGAATTTGTTATTATAAATATGTATTCCATTCATTCAATTATTTTTGTCATTCAGGTCTTTGGCAATTTAAAAATCCGTTTCTTCAACTTCCACATATTAGTGAAGAGCATTTAAAATATTTTTCTAAAAAGAAGAATAATCAATCAATTAAAACATTGAAACAATTAGCAGAAATGAATAATAGCGAGAGAAGAAAATTATTGAAGACCCTCTCTGACTGTGAATATGAAAATGTTATTAGAGCTCTTGGTTCAATGCCTCTTATTGATTTCAGTATACAATGTGAAGGTAATAATTTCTCAACAATTAAATATTACAGTCAAATACAAATCAACATAATGGCAAAGTAGATAATTATTAAAACTGTATATAATGCATTTTCTTTTCAGTGGTGGATGATGAAAATCCAACAGTTGTGACTGCCGGTGCTATAGTTACAGTAACTTGCACTTTAATCAGGCACAGTTTAAGTGAATTTTTTGATCAACATGATGCCAATGATTGTAATGATGATAAGTAAGTTTTTTTTATTTGTTACTTATTTTGATATTTTTAGATATTTTATTCTTTTGTTATTTTTAGAGATGAAGATACTTTTCAAGAAAACAATCCAGAAAATTTAGAAAACGCTGAACATCAGAACAACACAACTCCTCATTCTCAAAACAAAAAGCCGGCATGGCTAAAGAACAAGAAATCGTCATCTGGCAAGAATAAAGGCAATAAAAACAAATCCAGCAATAAAGGAAATAGCAGTAGAGCTAGTTTGGATTCCAAAGATAGCGGCCACAAAGATGGGCTCTCAACACCAAAAGAAGAAAAACATAGAGATCTTAATAAAGACAAAGAAAATGATCAAGATAGTGCTTTGGACTCAGATGTAAGTTGTTGTTAAGATGTAAGTTCGACTATATATATTCCATCGGTTTATACAGTCGAACCTCAGTTTATTTTAGTTTGAATTAATATAGTGTATTTAATTTAGAAAAAAATTAATAAGCCATGTTAATTAAAATCTGAACTATGGTTGAATTATTTCAGAGTGAAAGAGAAGATAGATCTTCTGAGGATGAGAAAGAAAAAAAGAATTCTGCCAATGAAGATGATGATACTGAATGGAACAAGTATGTACTTTAATCACTTTGTTAATTTGTAAACTATTTGCAAAGTATCTGAACGCACTTCTGAATACATTGTTAATTTGTTCCTGACATGTATTTGAAAGACATTATTTTTATAACTTCTTTTGTTTTGTCTAGTTTTCCATGTCTAGTTGTTTGGATGATTATAACTATTTGTAAGATTTATCTAAGGCTGTTAATATTTTTTATTTTAGATTTCAAGAGAGACTTCAGAAAAGAGACAAGGTTCTGGAAGGAAAGTCTAAAATTTCACATTCTGTTCATTGCCCATTTTTCCCAGAGGTACCGATTTATTATGCAGTTAAGCTATTAGTAGAATTGACTATATTTATTTTATCTTTTTTTTTTGTAGGACAAGCAAGAATATTGGTGGGTGTACATTTGTGACAGAAAATCCAGGTCTTTATTGACCGCCCCATATCATGTAACAAATTTAGTGGACAGAGAACAAATTCAGCTAAGGTATTATATTTATCATTCAAATGGTTTATCGATATTATTAATCAAACTTTATCGTTATGTGTCTATTTATAACAATTGGGTTTTTACAAAACTAGAAGGAACTAGTTGGTATTGGTATTTTGCCTTGAGGCAAGTTACATGAACTTCCCGATATGTGTAAATAATCGACTTAATCAATAAAAAATAAGTTAATTTATGAGTGGATTTATTACACATAATTGAAAATGAATGAACACGTTAACTCGGAGTATTTTCTAAAAGCAAATTTTCAAAAATCAATAATTTTTATTATTGAACCAGTTTCTGTAGGACTTTAATGGTTTAGTATGTTCATTAAGACCAAGTATTCTATTGTTATACCAAGTAAATCGTCTAATTTTAACAAACTACTCAAAAAAACTATACTTAATTTTCTCAAACTTTGATGAATTTTTAAAATTGAACTACTTGTTGTAAAGCCGAAATATTTCAGTAAGTTCTCTAAGACCATGATATATATCGCAAAAAAAGTTCCATAAAAATTGGCTTAATTTTTTTTTCAACAGTTAATTTCTAGAAAACGGCTTGGTAGATTTTCACCTGAAACTAATCAGTTTCATTCCCAACTAATATCTTTCAAACAGTTTTTGCTTTTTTAAAATCGATTTGGTAGTAGGAGCTTAAATGTGGACGAAAGGTTTAACCCCTTTTTTTCAAATTACAAAGAAACGGCTGGGAAGATCGTCGCACAAAACTGCCAAACGATAATTCTCATCGAGATACATCAAATGGCTTTTAAATTTTTGAAATCGGTTTAGCCGTTTTTGAGAAAACGTCTATTTACGGCAAAAAATTTGTTCACGCACACGCACACACACACACACACATTTCCCAAATTTGGTCTCATTCGATTCAGAATGACTTAAAACGTCGAGAAAACATAAAATTAGCGAATAGAATTTTTTGACGAAAACAAAGTTCTCCTTCGGGAAGTTAAAAATGAAAATTTATGTTATCATGACATGCAAAATTAGTTTTTGGTAAAAGCAGATCAGTGGCTTTGAAGGAGCAGAAAAAAAGTTTTGAAAATATGTCATTTAGAGGTCACAAATGATCATTACAAATCATTATTATTATTTTGTATACAAATGGAATTATTAGTAGTCAGGTAGGTAGGTAGATAGATAGATATATATACAGGTAGAAATTGTGACAGGTAAATAGTACTAATGATTAAATTAATTGTTTACACATATTGGAAAGTTTACGCAATTTGACTTAAGGCAAAAATCCACTTACATCTAGATATAAATTAAATTAATATTAATTTTATTTTACAGATTCACGGCTCCTAGATGGGCTGGAGTATACACTTTCAATGTGTGCTTAAAATCAGGTACTATTCGGCCCACTAATGTTATTATATTGATACTAATAATCGTTGAACACATTTTGTTTAATTATACCCCATTAATTCTGCAGATTCTTATTTGGGAACTGATCAGCAGCTTGATATGAGATTAGATGTTGAAGAGGCCGTGGAGACCCCAACCCAACATCCTCAGTGGCAAGCTCTCTCCGACAGCAGTGATAGCAATGCTGATGATGATGGAGATGATAACAGTGACTTAACTACTGATTCTGATAATGATGATGATATTGATGATGATAACAAACTAGTGGCGCATGATGACAGCGATTAAAAACTGAAATGTTAATGAAATTTTACTGAAGTGAACGTGAAGTGTGAGAACTTGATCTAGCATTACATCAGAAAAGAATAGTGATTAAGAATAATTTACATGCACATAATGTATAACATTAAGAAAGTGAAAATATTTTATATAAGTCGAATTGGCATTTGAATGAATGACGCACTGGAGAGGAGAAATTTTAATTTAAAGACAAACTTATTGTACAGATTATATGGTCTTATAAATGCTGGTGATTAGTGATTGGAAGAATAGTGTGTATGTGAGAGATACTGTAGAAGAAAATTATGGTTTAGTTATGTTTACTGACTGCAGTAGTTTTTTATATGTATTTAAATTTAATTATATGGTATCATACGCCATCTACTTATAAACTTTAAACTAACAACTTTAATTTATTGTGTAGAATTTATTAGTTCAGTTAGACATTGCTCACATCAAGCAATTAACATTTAATGCCAAATCACAATTTTTAGAGCAATGTCTAAAGAATAACTACACTTTGTTTTCAAATGCACTTTAAAATTTGTTTTTATTAAATCAACAGCTAATATGCGTTTTGTCTGTATATAGTGATATAATATATTGTAAATTGTTTTATATTATATTATATTATTATCATATTTTATTAAATTCAATAATCAACATGTACATAGTTACATTTTTATTAGTTCTATAAGATCATAAAATAAAGCATTTTGGAAATTTTCTTAGCATGAAGTGTAAAAAGTAATTGATGCATCTATATGCACATTTTGTAGGTTTATTATTTGTTATTAATGATTTTGTTTACAGGTAAAGGTTTTTTCTTTGGAGAAAAAATTGATGGGCATAAGGAAAAATATGTATGATAAATAGACTTATTTTTGAAGCGGGTTATTATAATTTATTTTATTTGTTTAAACATCTTGTACAGTAAGGAATGGAAAAAACGTGTTATGACAATTTTATTTAAAATATGAATTATGTGTAATTAGGGGTGAAACGATTGTGTACTTTGCATTAAATTTGTATATGCATTTTTCAAAATTTCCATAAAAAATATTTGTGATTTTTGATTTTTTTAGCAAATTACGTGTATATATATAAATTGCGTCGCACAATTGGTAGTTTTTTAAAAAAAAAAATGTATGTGGTTTGAAAAAGGTAAAATAGTTCTCATGTTGTTTCATCCCCATAATTAATATGTGCATGTGTTATTTTTACTAAAAAAGATATTTATTGCATTTTGTTGATGTACTGATGTGCAGTACAATAACAAACTATTAATGATAACAATAATTATATATGAAGATGTATAAATAATAATTTATTGAATCATAAAAATAATAAGAATGGTTTTTGGTCCTGATATTGATATAAATTTGTATCTTTTTTAGAAAATTGTGTATCACGAAATTGTAATGTATAAAATATTTTAATAATGTATTCTGTGACTTTTATTTTAATTCTCAATCAGACAACACTTTTTTTTTTTGACTAGTATGTATTTTTCAGAATTGTTAGTGGTAATTTATATTGATAGTGGTATTGAGTTACATAACATATTTTTCGGAGCAATTCTTGTCGAAAGTGCGTAATGTGAATAGTTTTAGAGAATATTGTTTGGAGCATTGCGTTGAATAGTATATATTCGTACATGTAAATAATGTAGTTATGATTTTAGTACATAAAACCTATGTTTTTCAAGTGTTAAGTGTGTACGGTCGGTCTTGTGCAAAATCGGCGCGAGTGTTAGTAGTGTCGTTTGGCGGCAGTCTAAACGCATGTCTTATAAAAGGTACGAATATTATATAAGATGATTATTATATGATACATAACTGTATAATTGTTATAAGTACCATTTAAAAAAAAATTAGACGTAGGTGACCGTTTCTTTGTTGGACGTAACATTTCGGTCGATCTTGTATTATGTATTTATATATTGTTCAACACTCTTAAGTGACGTACAATTAATGGCTTCTGATTGTTTAAATATTGTTGTCATATCATTAGCAAACCACATTTATTTTAATTCGGTCAGAGTTTTATTCGGCCCCCTTTTGGGTACTACTGATTGGTATCAGGTGTGGGCGAAATCGGTGAACGCCGTCGCCTCGCGCTTTACTGCCTTGCAAAATTTTAATTATTAAAAATTTGTGGTATTTTCAATAATAAGTTTAAATGACTCATACATTCGTTTAACTATAATTTAGCTTATATAACTAAACGTTTTCTTGACTGGGAGAAAAAGAAGAGCCGTGCCAATTCAATATTTCCTGTCGTCTACGCATGGTAAAGCGCAGGCTTTTTGGGAACTTCCATTAGAAGAGCATAAAGTATAAATGCTTATAATTAGAAAAGCATATAGTCCTACATAAACTACATATGGTATTGACACCTTACCATATGTAGGTTTTGAGACAACTTTAGGGTATCAATATACAAGTATTTACTTACCAGTAATTTAACTTAAATTACTGGATTAGTAAAGATATCTTGATAAAGATATCTTGTTCATGGAGCCTATCGGTGGATTGATGGTTAGAGCTGCCTATCCAACAGGAAGATTGCGGGTTTTATACCCGGTTCGGACGGCCTGATGACAATCAGCAGTGATATCAGCTTTCACTTGGAAATGTAGATAGCAATATGTTTCAAAAATTGCCCTTAGCTTGGAAACATATTTAGATCTATATAGTGAAAACCAATATCACTATATACTGATTATTATCAAACTGTCCGATATCGATTCGGACCTCTGATACCTTGGTTTGCAAAGCCAAAATTCTTACCACTAAGCCACGGAAACACCATTAAGCCATAAATAATTCATGTCTATTGTATGCCAGAGGTGGCAAGCACACGATTCAATGAAGTCGATCCAAAAGGCTACAATCTTAAAATTATTTTTAATTTTATACTGATCTGTGCCAATCTCTTTGCATTGATTTTTTCAAAAATCGATTCAGTAGATGCTGATTTTCTCCGCATTTTCATTGCGATTTAATTTACATAGATGATTTGTTTTACAACTACTCTCGCCTAAGCGAGGAGGCTTATGGCAAATAGTGGGACGTATACAACATCTAATTGAGTAAGATGAAAATTTCGAAAGTTTATTAAAAATTAAGTCGAGTACAACGAAACGATTTTTATTGATGGGGCCCCATCGAAGGAATTCGCCATCGGCCCCAGAATTCTTTCGTTTGTGCAACGAACCCCAATACTACGAATTATAAACTGTATAAGTTACGTAATCAGATGTGATGTAAAAAATATACTTTTCAGTATTTTTTTAATAATAATTATATTTGCACGGTCTATCTACTTCACACATACATACAAAACGTTTCTGGCATTATTTATACATTCATTAAATTATTCGCAAATATTTTAAATGTATATTCAAAATACATTATTCAGTTAAGAATTAATACTATAGTCAATTGCTCATTACATTAATGATTCAACTATTATAAATTATAATAAAGTATGTAATTAAAGAATTCAACGTTAAATTTCAATAATTACCATCACACCCGGACGCCCAATTAATAGATTGGCATCCGATTTAGACATTCTACAAAGGACTATCAAAAAATTTGCCGATATTTTATTATGTAATTGGTGCAAATATATATGAAAATAAAAAAAAAATACTCGGGCGTGCATTTACTGGATTTTCATTCGATTTAGACAATTTTCAAGTACTACCATAAAATTTGTTGATATTCCTTAATGAAATAAGTGCAGATATTAAAAATTTCAATAAGGTGATCCTTCACTGGATAGGAATTGATTGAATTGATCACAACAACCAAATCGGCATTGTACATCAAGTTTATTATATAACATCTTCTAATAATACATGATGCTATTGTATGCATTATCAATATTATTACCTATTTGATAAATCATTGATACAAATTTTATTTTAAAACCAGATCTACGAGCCTTTTAAACTTCATGAAAAAGTTTGTTTTCGTCAAATTTTTTTTTGATGCAGTTTTGTGTGTTCCTGAATTTTTGGAGACAAAATCTGGAAAAAAGTATATGTGCGTATGCAATGGGAATAGAAAATTTAACCTTTTATCGAATTTTCTCAAAAAAACTGCTGAATTGTTTTCTAAAATTTAAGACATTCGATGAGAACCCGTGTTAATCGGGTTTACAAGAAGATCAGCCGAGCCGTTTTGAAAATTCTGATCAATTTGAAGATTTGAAAAAATATCAGTTTAGAATCGTGCTATTAGTTTTTGTTAAAGATCGGACAGGTCTTTCTCATTGATTAAATTTTAATTCAATTCTGACGGTTTTAATAAATCTTTGTATAGAGACAGAGTTCATGGTCTTGATGCACATCCTAAAATATTATAGCAGTGGTCGAGAAACCGGGGTAAATTACCCCAAATGGGGCAAAAAAGGAATTTTTGGGGTAAAATTAGTTTTAATTCATATTCATTGTATTTGCTACATAGTTGTCCATATGGGGTGTAATCTCTTTTTGCGATGGGGGTGATATCAACTTAGACCAAAAAAAAATGGGGTAATGATTAAAAAAGTTTCCCAACCCCTGTATTATAGGCCTACGAAAAGTAGTGTAGCTATGAAAATTCATTAAACTTCGAAATAATGGGCAACGCTTTTAGAACAAAATTTTACTTTCGAAGTAAATTGTAAAAAATGATCTAAATTGCAATTTTTATTAGACAATAATAGAAGCAAGGCAATTTTTTATACATCAGGAAGTTTATGAATCCGACCTTAAGGCAAATTGCCACTTACATCTAGTTGGTTATTATAGTGCGTTACCTGGCTAATTGATGATTTGAACCAAAACCTGCAGCTACTCTTTCTCTTCATGTGAGAATTGAAGATGCCGCACATATATACAGCTAAAATGTTTGATTAAATTTTGTTTAAACAAATTATTTATTAATTTATAAAATATAAGAATTAAAAATAATACATTGCACAATAATTTGAACAATAAATCTTGGTGAAATACGCATCTGTTTGCGACCGAAACGGTGTGTAAAATGCAATTATTTAAAAAAAGTACTTTTATTTAATAGTTACATGATTAACTAACTATATATTTTAGATTTAGATTAAAAGTACTTTTTAATATTATTATTTTTTCATAATGATTTCAGAAACATTTTGTTTAACAAATTTGTATTTTTCATTATATTTTATATTATATTTACTTTATTTACAAATTAAATAGATATTTATCTAATTTTAGTTAATGTCTGCATTATTTATTTGGCATTTAAAAACAATACAGACACATACATTTATAAATAATCAACTTACATTTACATCCTAATCCTACTTATTCTAATAAAACTAATAGAAGTATTATAAGAGTTTACATTTCTGAGTCAAGTAATTAAATTAAATGCTTTTTCTCTAAAATTGAAATTATATATGTCTGCATTTAATTTAATTTATTTAGTAGTAGTCCATAGGCTTACT